AGAGCGCTGCGCCGTGCCTTCAGCCAATGGGCGTGCGAGTTATTGGAAGCCCTTATTTGCATAACGCTACTATAAAAGCGGCGCCGTCCGCGGGGCCGTTTCACTCTGTGGTGTTGGCTCGTAGCGACCGTAGCGCGGACGCGATGCCCGAACCGGCCAAGTCAGCACCCGCCCCCAAAAAGGGCTCCAAGAAGGCGGTGACAAAGACCCAGAAAAAAGGCGACAAGAAGCGGCGGCGCAGCCGCAAGGAGAGTTACTCCATCTACGTGTACAAGGTGCTGAAGCAAGTGCACCCCGACACCGGCATCTCCTCCAAAGCCATGGGCATCATGAACTCCTTTGTCAACGACATCTTCGAGCGTATCGCGGGGGAGGCGTCCCGCCTGGCCCACTACAACAAGCGCTCCACCATCACGTCGCGGGAGATCCAGACGGCCGTGAGGCTCCTCCTGCCCGGCGAGCTGGCTAAGCACGCCGTCTCCGAGGGCACCAAAGCCGTCACCAAGTACACCAGCTCCAAGTAAAGCGGCCGGAATCGGCTGCGGGGAACCGGCTCGGCTCAACTCAACCCAACGGCTCTTTTCAGAGCCACCCACTTCCTTACCAAAGAGCTGACGTTGCTGCTGAGGTGTCCCTTTTTTTTTTTGTTGTTGTTTACTTGGCATTTTGAGGGTTGCGGGGAAGGGATTTGGCGTTTCAAAGCCTGTCGCGAACGTAGATAATTTTGTCTGTTTTCTGAAAAGGCGTGTCGGTCGTTACGGGGTTCGCCCCCCCCCCCCGCCCTGCGCCGGGCGGCTCGTGCTGCCGCTTTCGCCTTCGAACCGTTCCCCCCCCTCCCCCCCAATTGGTCGCGGTGGGCGATGACGTCACAGAGGGGTGGAGCGCGTTAGCAGCGCGGGTTTCCCTCCGGTCCGCGCTGGGGTGTAGGATCCGCCTGAGCGAAGCCGCAGTCCCCACTCCGCGCGTGGGGTGGGTGCCGGGTGGGTGGCGGCGCCGCCCCGGAGGTGGGGGCTGGGTGTTCGTGGGCTGCGCTCTGCCTTGGGTTTCACGGCTGGAGAGCTCGCTGTGAGATCTGTCGCTGCTATGTTTTTAAGAGTAGAAATAAGGTTTTCCTGGACTGTTATTAAAGTGTAATGACTGTAGAAAAACCTGAGGTTATTGAAAGTAAAACTTCATTACCGTGTAACTAATACTAGTGCTGTGTTCGGATGCGAATAACGCCGCCATCCCCTTTTGTACCCCTGTTACTTAGGAAACACGTGAGTTCTTGTTCCCCGCGCGACGTCTTTCTGCGCTTTGTGAACTGTGTTTTCTTCGTCCGTGTGTGCGTGGGGGTGAGCTGGGGGAATCCCATGCAAAGTTAGTGTGTCCCGCCCTCTATCCCCGCCTGGATACAGGGTGGGGAATAAAAAGGCCTTGAAAGGATGAACTCTGGGCCATGGGGTTTTTTTCTGGAATTATTACCAATTTTGGTTCATCTGTTTGGAGCCGCCGCGGAGCGAGATTTTTCCCACGGCGCCCACCCGGGCTGCCGGCAGCGCCGTGCGGAAGACAAGGAGGGGGGAATGTAAACAGCGCCCGGCTATTGGCTAAGAGAATTCCGTAACGGGCCAATCAGAGAGCGGTATCTGGAGCTGCATTTGTGGCGTGGTGGCAGGCGCTGGGCGCGCTGCTCTCAGCCAATGGGTGGACGCGGAGTGGAACCCTCATTTGCATAAATAAGCGGCGCCCGCCACTTCCATCAGCGAGAACCCCGGCAACGATGGCTTTTAGCGGTTTTTATTAGCAGAAATTAGTGTTTTGCGAATTTCTGTACCAGGGACCTGCCTCGAAAATGCTCATTTTTGGTTGGCAGAGCCTCTCTCCGTTCCCCGTGGTTTTATTACTAGGTGTCCGCTGCCACTTTTGAGGCTCGGGCGTTTTGGGGCAACCCTGCTTTACCGTTGAGCCCTGACGCTCCCACCGTGGGAAGATTAAGAGCTGTAATTAATCCTTCCGCTCTCATCAATGCTACCCAGTCCCCACACCTGCTCCTCCAGCTCTTTTCCTGAAGCGGTGGGTGGCTCTGAAAAGAGCCTTTGCATTTAAAAGCAAAATAAAAAATAAAATCCCAGACTCAGAAACACCTCGCGCAGGCTTTCGCCCCTCCTCCCGCCGCCTCACTTGACCTTGGCCTTGTGGCTCTCGGTCTTCTTGGGCAGCAGCACGGCCTGGATGTTGGGCAGGACCCCGCCCTGCGCGATGGTGACGCCGCCCAGCAGCTTGTTGAGCTCCTCGTCGTTCCGCACCGCCAGCTGCAGGTGCCGGGGGATGATCCGCGTTTTCTTGTTGTCCCGAGCGGCGTTACCCGCGAGCTCTAAGATCTCGGCAGTCAAATACTCCATGACGGCGGCTAAGTAAACGGGAGCGCCGGCACCCACGCGTTCGGCGTAGTTACCTTTGCGCAGCAGCCGGTGGACGCGGCCCACGGGGAACTGGAGGCCCGCGCGGGAAGAGCGCGACTTGGCCTTCGCGCGGGCCTTTCCCCCCTGCTTCCCGCGACCCGACATCGCCCCGCGGCCCGCCTCGCCTAAACGGGGCGCCGCCGCCGCCGCCGCGTCTTTTATAGCCTGCCGGGGAGCGAAACGTCGCTTTGTGATTGGCTACGGGAGCACCAACCGGACAGCAAAGACTCGTGGCCAATAGCAACCCGTGGTTTGGAGCCGCCTCTGTTCCAGGGCGGGACGTGGCCAATCAGAGAGCGGGATGAGGCGCCCGGGGGTTATAAAAGGAGGCGGCGCTCAATCCCTCAGCGGTAAAGCTTTTAATTTTTTAAGTTTTTGGTTTGGTTTTTTTGGATTTTTTTTTTTTTTTAGCATCTTAGCACGTGTGCGCTGTGGGGCTGAGGGCAAGTCGCTGGCTTCCCCCCCCCCCCGTCTCCCGCCAACAATTTTAAAGGCTTTTGAAGTGCGTTGGGTGACTCGGGGAGGGGCGGGTGGAGCTCGTGCCGGTCTCCCATTGGCCCGCGGGAAGGGGGGGGCGGTTCCCACTCAGCTCCGCCCCGAGCTCCGCCCACCGCGGCTGCCGGTCGGCGCGCCCCACCACCGCCCTTTTCACCTTAAAAACTTCTTTTTTTTTTTTTTTTTAATAATAAAATCACGCTGCTCCCTCCCAGAAATCCCCCTTTTTTGGCTTTTTTTTCCCCGTTAAACCCCAGCGGGGCGGGGGGGGTTTGTGTGCGCGGCGCCTTTGGGGAGGCGCGGGGGCGCTGGTGCCAGAGCCCGGATAGCTCAGTCGGCAGAGCATCAGACTTTTAATCTGAGGGTCCAGGGTTCAAGTCCCTGTTCGGGCGAAGACCGTTCCCTTTTCCCGTCCGCTCCAGCGCGGTCCCTGCGAGCCGGACTGTTTTTTTTTTTTTTTCCCTTTTTTTTTTGGATTTTTTAGGAATTGGGGGGATTTTTTTTTTTTTTTTTTTTTGCGGCGGAGGCGTGTGGGCCCCGGTGGGGCTGGCGCGGGGGGCCGGTCCCATGGTGTAATGGTTAGCACTCTGGACTCTGAATCCAGCGATCCGAGTTCAAATCTCGGTGGGACCTTCTCCCTTTTCGTCCCCGTCACCCCGCGTCGTGTCCCGCCCACCCCCCGCGCGGGGGGGGGGGGGGTCCCTGCTCTGCGCCTCCCCCCCCTTTTGGGGACCACTGGGGTCACCCCACCCAGGTGTGCCCCGAACTTGACCCACCCACAGGGACTGTGCGGGGCATCCGACGCGTGACACCCCCATCAGGGACCCCCCTGTGTCTGCCACCCCCCCCCCCCTTGGGGACCGCAGGTGTCACCTGGGGGGGGAGGTGACCTCATGCCATCCTGTCCCCAAGGGGGACGGAGAGTGGCTCTACTCTTGTGCCTCCAGCCGCGAGGCCAGGACACAGCCCTGCTGGCCCTCCCAGCCCCACCGTCCCCACGGCAGGACCTGCCCTCTCCTGCCCCACACCCCCACTGGTGCTGGCCCTCAGTGGGCCGTCAGGGATGATGGGGACACAGTGCCCGGAGCCTTGATGGCCCTTGGGGACCAGGACAAGACCCCCCAACCAGCCCCGTCTCCCTTGCAGCCTGGTGGCACGGAGCAGGGCACAGGGACGTGAATATGGGGACAGGGGCAGGGTGGGGGACACTGGGCTGGGGACAGGGAACCATCTTCCCCCCCCCCCTAAATAATCCCCCTGGGGGTGTCCCCACGGTGGGACCCCGCAGTGGGGACGGCCGGGCGCGGGTCCATCCTCCCTCGCCGCCTCACCCCGGGGCCAACGTCCCCCTCGCCGCGGTGGCGCTTTGGCTCCAGTGCCGTCAACCCTGACAAACTGATGACCCCAAAATTGCAAAACCTGGAGCAAAGGGCGCACCCGGCATTTCTTCCAGCAGCTGCCAAGAAAAACATTTGATCCTTGTGATAATTTTATAGCCCCGTGAACCCTGGGGTTGCCAATTGGAGGTAAAGGTGAGAAACACTGTGGTGTGGCTGTGCTGCAAGTGTTTGCTCCTTTTTTTTTTTTTTTTTTAATTAGCAAAAAGATTATCCTGCCAAGAAGCAGCTTTCCAGGTGCTCACGCCCAGGCCAGGGATTTAAGTGGCAAACTCTGTTTTTCTCCTAGTGACTAAAGCCTGTTTGTGTGACCATCGGCGGGGGAGAAGGGGCGTGGGTGGGCAAAATGCTTCAGCATTGAGCTGGTCCTGCTTGGAAGGGGCTGAAGATGTGGACAGTTTCCAAGAAAATGGGGGAGCACGGAGCAAATTTTGTTGGGGTGGGGCTTCCACATAGGAGCACCAATAAAGTAAACATGGGATGGGCTGATTTCCCAGTTTTTATAATGAAAGAAAAAATGCTGGAGATGTTTGGGGTCAGCTGGAGATGTTTGGAGTTGGAGATGTTTGGGGTCAGCTGGAGATGTTTGGGGTCAGCTGGAGATGTTTGGGGACAGCTGGAGATGTTTGGGGACAGCTGGAGATTTTGGACATATTTGGGGTTAGTTGGAGGTGCTGGGGGCTGGATGGAGACGTTGAGGATTGGGTGGACGTGTTGGGGGTTGGATGGAGACGTGGGGGAGCTGCACAGGGACCTCCCCCCCCGCCCCACGGGGGACCCAGGTGTGTCTGCGCTCCCCACGCAGCGCGCTGAGCACCGGGGAGAGCTCACGGAGATGCCTCCGTGTGGAGCCCAAGCCATAACCCAAAGCCAGGGGTGGGTAAGGGGAGGGAGGGGTGGGTGGACGGACAGACGGACGGACGGCTGGGTGGATGGATGTATAGCTATGGTAGATAGATGAGGTAGGCAGATGAGTGGGTAGAGGCAGGGTGAGTAGGTGGAAGGATGGACAGACAGCTGGACACAGCCAGACGGCCAGCTCATGTTTCCGTACTGATCAGCTCGGCGGGTGCAGGCAGGCGACGGGGGGGCCAGCGAAGCCCGGCGGGGTGGCAACCGTCCGGCATCGGCGGGCGGTCAGAAGGATCCGAATGGCAGCAGGACGGACGGACAGCCGGCCGGCTGGAGGGACAGCCGGAGGGGCAGGGGCAGGAGGGGCGGGCAGGCGGCCGGGGAGTTAATGAGCAGCAGCCGCCTCCACCGTGCCGCAACACACCCCGGGGCAGGGCTCCTGCTGCAGGGAAAGGTAGGGAAAAAAAAAAAAAAAAAAAAAGAAAGAAAGAAAAAAAACCAAAGCACCCTAATCCTGGCCAAGGCAGCAAAGCCCTGCGGGGCGTCAGCAGCCGGGGCAAGGTGCGCTTGGGGCGGACCTTGGCCAGGAGCACCCAGCGGGTGCTGCCGGGGCTCGGCACCCCCCCGTGACCATGCCGGTGCTGGGGGTCGTCACGGCGGCAGCGGCCGGGCTGGTGGTGCTGCTGCTGCTGGCGGTGCCGACGGCGGTCGCTCGCCTGTTCCCTTTCTTCTGGGTCGACTTGGCGGCCTTCGGCGCCTTGGCGAGGTCGTCGGTGCGCTGCCGGCGGCGGTTGAACCGCCAGCCCGCCGTCACCCTCCTCGACGTCTTCCAGGGCCACGCTCGCCGCCGGCCCCGCTGGCCCCTGCTCCGCTTCCAGGATGAGGTTTACACCTACGAGGACATGGACCGCCGGAGCAACCGGGCCGCCCGCGTGTTCTCCCGGCGCCTGGGGCTGCAGCCGGGCCGCACCGTCGCCGTCTTCCTCCCCAACGACCCCAGCTACGTCTGGACCTGGCTGGCGCTGGCCAAGCTGGGATGTCCCATGGCTTGTCTCAACTGCAACGTGCGGGGCCGGGCGCTGCAGCACGCTCTCGCCGCCGCCGGGGCCTCCCTCCTCCTCGCCAGCCCCGGTGAGCGGCTCCCACCGGGCCGGGGGGGGCGCGGAGTTGGGGTGCTGGGAGGGCCCGGCTGGTTCCCCGGCTCCCCTGGCCGCTGGCTGTGTCTCGCGGCGCACACGCGTGTGCTGGGGGCCGGGGTGGGGGGGGAGCGCGGACGGTGTCCGGGCACGTCGATGCTCCTGCGTGCGCGTCGGCACGTATGCCGGTGGCTGTAGATGTGACCGCGCGTGTCGGCGCCTGTGCGTGGATTGGCACAGGTGTCGGTGCCTGTGCATGTGTCTGCACGCGTGTCGGTGCCTGTGCATGTGTCTGCACGCGTGTCAGTGTCTGTGCATGTGTCTGCACGGGTGTCAGTGCCTGTGCATGTGTCTGCACGTGTGTCCGTGCCTGTGCATGTGTCTGCACGCGTGTCTGTGCCTGTGCATGTGTCTGCACGCATGTCAGTGTCTGTATGTGTGTCTGCAGGTGTGTTGGTGTCTATGCATGTGTCTGCACGTGTGTCCGTGCCTGTGCATGTGTCTGCACGGGTGTCAGTGCCTGTGCATGTGTCTGCAGGTGTGTCGGTGCCTGTGCATGTGTCTGCACGCATGTCAGTGTCTGTATGTGTGTCTGCAGGTGTGTTGGTGTCTATACATGTGTCTGCACGCGTGTCGGTGCCTGTGCATGTGTCTGCACGGGTGTCAGTGCCTGTGCATGTGTCTGCACGGGTGTCAGTGCCTGTGCATGTGTCTGCACGCGTGTCTGTGCCTGTGCATGTGTCTGCACGGGTGTCAGTACCTGTGCATGTGTCTGCATGCGTGTCAGTGTCTATACATGTGTCTGCACGCGTGTCGGTGCCTGTGCATGTGTCTGCACGGGTGTCAGTGCCTGTGCATGTGTCTGCACGTGTGTCGGTGCCTGTGCATGTGTCTGCATGCGTGTCAGTGCCTGTGCATGTGTCTGCACGCATGTCAGTGTCTGTATGTGTGTCTGCAGGTGTGTTGGTGTCTATACATGTGTCTGCACGTGTGTCAGTGTCTGTGCATGTGTCTGCACGCGTGTCAGTGCCTGTGCATGTGTCTGCATGCGTGTCAGTGCCTGTGCATGTGTCTGCACGTGTGTCGGTGCCTGTGCATGTGTCTGCATGTGTGTCAGTGCCTGTGCATGTGTCTGCACGCATGTCAGTGTCTGTATGTGTGTCTGCACGCGTGTCAGTGTCTATACATGTGTCTGTATGCGTGTCAGTGCCTGTGCATGTGTCTGCACGCATGTCAGTGTCTATACATGTGTCTGCATGCGTGTCAGTGTCTGTGCATGTGTCTGCACGCATGTCAGTGTCTGTGCATGTGTCTGCACGGGTGTCAGTGTCTGTATGTGTGTCTTCAGGTGTGTCAGTGTCTATACATGTGTCTGCACGCGTGTCTGTGCCTGTGCATGTGTCTGCACGCGTGTCTGTGCCTGTGCATGTGTCTACACGCATGTCTGTGCCTGTGCATGTGTCTGCATGGGTGTCAGTACCTGTGCATGTGTCTGCATGCGTGTCAGTGTCTGTGCATGTGTCTGCATGCGTGTCTGTGCCTGTGCATGTGTCTGCACGGGTGTCAGTACCTGTGCATGTGTCTGCATGCGTGTCAGTGTCTATACATGTGTCTGCATGCGTGTCAGTGTCTGTGCATGTGTCTGCATGTGTGTCAGTGCCTGTGCATGTGTCTGCACGCATGTCAGTGCCTGTACATGGATTTCCACAAGTGTCAGTGTCTGCATGTGTCTACATACATGTCAGTGTCTGTGTGTATGTCTGCACGCATGTCAGTGCCTGTGCATGTGTCCGCACGCGTGTCGCTGGGCATACATGCATTTCCATGTGTGTTGGCTATGTGTGTATTTGCAGGTGTGTCTGTGCACGCGTGTCAGCGCCCACACACGCTCTTGCACGCCTCTGTAGCACACGCGTGGGCGCGAGGCTGTTTGCCCTGAGCGTACGAGAGGTGGTTCACGTCGGGGCTCCGGCGTGCTCACGGCTGCTTTGTGCAGCCCTTTGCACACGCGTGTGCAAAACCCCAACAACGCCGCGGTGAGCGTGTCGGGGTGCGCTGGCCGTGCGGAGGCCACGGGTTAATCATCACCAGCCCCTTCCCGGGTTAAAGGTCTTTTTTTTTTTTTTTTTTTTGGGGAGGGGAGAGAAAAAAAGAAAAAAAACAGGGTGGGAGGAGGCTGGACCCACTCGGGTCCTCGGGGCACCCACCCGTGATGCCCGGGGGTGCCCAGCTGATTGGGGGCCCCTTTGGGGGCGCACTGGGGGCCCCTTTGGGGGTGCACTGGGGGCCCCTTTGGGGGTGCACTGGGGCCCCTTTGGGGGTGCACTGGGGGCCCCTTTGGGGGTGCACTAGGGGCCCCTTTTGGGGCGCACTGGGGCCCCTTTGGGATCTCTGGGGCACTCACCTGGGATGCCCGGGGGTGCCCGGCTGATTGGGGGCCCCTTTGGGGGTGCACTGGGGCCCCTTTGGGGGTGCACTGGGGGCCCCTTTGGGGGTTCACTGAGGGCCCCTTTGGGGGTGCACTGGGGCCCCTTTGGGGGCGCACTGGGGCACCCACCCGTGATGCCCGGGGGTGCCCAGCTCATTGGGGTGCCCCTTTGGGGGTACGTGGGGTGCCCATCCCCGACCTTTTGGGTTCCCCTCTGACTGTTGACCCACCTGGGCCCCCCCGGGGGCCGTGGCCCCCTCTGTCCCCCCAGAGCTCCAGGCCGCCGTGGAGGAGGTGCTGCCGGCCCTGCAGCGCGACGGCACCCGCGTGTTCTACCTGAGCTCCGGGTCCCCGACGCCGGGCATCGAGGCCCTGCTGCCCGCCATCGAGGTGGCCCCCGATGAGCCCCCGCCCGCCCGCCACCGCGCCGGCGTCACCGCCAAGTCCAAGGCCATGTACATCTACACCTCCGGCACCACCGGTGAGGCTGGGGGGGCCGGGCGCCCCCAGGGCAGTAAGGGCCCAGCCGTGGGGAAGGGCTGTGGGGCAGAAGGCGGGTTGTGTGGGCGAGGTGGGGCAGGCGATGTCGGAGGGGTCCTGCGGAGCCCTTCCTCCGGCCCTGACCGGCTCCTCCCGGCTCTGTCCACGCGAGGGTTGGCCACCTCCCCCGATGGAGAACCCACCGGGCACGTGGGTCCGTCCTTGCCGTGGGACAGGGTGGGAAACGGGACCTCCCTCATCCCGCTCTGACCCCCAACCACGTCCCGCCCCAGCCAACCCGGGCGCATCTGGATGAGGATGCTCATGGCTCCTCCCAGCAAGGTCTGGAGAGCTCGAGGGGTGGCGACCCGCCGTGCCGGGGGAAGGGGTTTGCCCCCCATCCCACGCGGGAAGGTCCAAGGGGGACGTTTCCTAGCAGCTGCTCCCACCCCCCAGGGCTGCCCAAGGCAGCGGTGGTCACAGAGATGAAGCTGATGATGGTGGCCAACCTGGCCCGGCTCTGCGGTCTGCGGCCTGACGATGTCATCTACACGACGCTGCCGCTCTACCACTCAGCCGGGCTGCTCGTCGGGGTGGGAGGGTGCTTCGAGGTCGGTACGTAAGCTCATGGCCCACGTGGGACGGGCAGAGAGAGGGGTTGGGGGTGGGTGGGTGGAGGAATGGGTGGATGGAGGGATGGGTGGGTGGGTGGATGGAGGGATGGGTGGGTGGATGGATGGATGGAGGGATGGGTGGGTGGGTGGATGGGTGGGTGGGTGGATGGATGGAGGGATGGATGGGTGGATGGATGGGTGGGTGGGTGGGTGGATGGAGGGATGGGTGGGTGGATGGAGGGATGGATGGATGGGTGGATGGAGGGATGGGTGGGTGGGTGGGTGGGTGGGTGGATGGATGGGTGGGTGGATGGATGGAGGGATGGATGGGTGGATGGATGGGTGGGTGGGTGGGTGGATGGAGGGATGGGTGGGTGGATGGAGGGATGGATGGATGGGTGGATGGAGGGATGGGTGGGTGGATGGGTGGGTGGGTGGATGGATGGAGGGATGGATGGGTGGATGGATGGGTGGGTGGGTGGGTGGATGGAGGGATGGGTGGGTGGATGGAGGGATGGATGGATGGGTGGATGGAGGGATGGGTGGGTGGGTGGGTGGATGGATGGGTGGGTGGGTGGATGGAGGGATGGGTGGGTGGGTGGGTGGAGGAATGGGTGGATGGAGGGATGGGTGGATGGGTGGATGGGTGGGTGGATGGGTGGGTGGGTGGATGGATGGAGGGATGGGTGGGTGGACGGATGGGTGGGTGGGCGGGCGGGTGGATGGGCGGGCGGGTGGATGGGCGGGCGGGTGGGTGGGTGGGTGGATGGAGGGATGGGTGGGTGGATGGGCGGATGGAGGGAGGGATGGATGGGTGGGCGGATGGGTGGGTGGGTGGATGGGAAAAAAAGAGTGAAATGGGAGGGGTAACCATCACCCTGCCGTGTCCCCCCAGGAGCCACCTGCGTCCTACGGGCCAAGTTCTCTGCCTCCCAATTCTGGGACGACTGCCGCCGCTACAACGTCTCCGTCATCCAGTACGTGGGTGAGCTCATGCGCTACCTCTGCAACACACCCAAGGTAAGGTCCCCACCAGCCTGAAATCCACCCCTGGGGGGGAAGATGCTGCGGTGGGGCACACCCTGAGATGGTCCCTCCCTTTGTCACCCCACAGCGTGCCGACGACCGGGAGCATGGGGTGCGCTTGGCGTTGGGCAATGGCCTGCGGGAAAAGGTGTGGAGGGAGTTTCTTCAGCGCTTTGGGCCTGTCTCCATCTGGGAGTTTTATGGGGCAACCGAGGGCAACGCCGGCTTCATCAACTACACCGGGAAGATCGGGGCCGTGGGCAGAGCCAACATGTTCCTCAAGGTGAGCCGCCGGTGAGGACGGTGGCGGGGGGAGCAAACGCTCACTGCCTTGGGGAGGCCAATAATGCGCCTCAAGTTGGGTTGATGGCAAGAGCCGGGGTCTCCTGGACACCCTCTCTGTGGTGGAGCAAATGGTGCCCTCCCTGGGGAAGCCAACACTGGCCAGTGGGTTGGGCTGATACAAAAGCAGGATCTCCAAGATCCCCTCGTCACATCCAAAAGGAGCTCCCTCCACTTGGTCGGCCAGTGTTGACTCAACAGCACGGACTCGAAGTCTAGTTTTGGAGTGCCCACGGTGACCTGGACATCGCTGTAGCCCCGAGAAGGGCCCCTCAGGTGTCACTTCTCAGTCCCCAGCCACCCACGCGTTGAGCAAAAGTTGCAAAAATCGGGTGTTCTCCACCTCTTTCCCCGCTCTGAATTCTCCCACAGGTCTTTGATTTGAAAGATACCACAGGGAGCTCGGGCAATGGTTGAATCTCTTAGGATTAAATCTTACTGCAATGCCAAGGGCCGTTAGCTCCAACAGAAACCAAGTGGCTGCCCAGGGTGTTGGGATTTGGGGCGTGGGTGGGTGGGGCGTGTTTCTGTGGGTTGTGATGAACAAATAACACAAGGTTGGAGCTGGCACTAGAGGGGAAAGTCGTCTCACTCTTTTTAATCCCGTGTTTATCTTCCACCCACCACTTTCTCTTTTTGCCCCTCTTCTGCCCCCCCAGAGGTTTGCTCCCTTTGAGCTGATCAAGTATAACGTGGAGGAGGATGAACCTGTACGTGACGAGCGAGGTCTCTGCATACGAGTCCGCCCCGGTAAGGAGAGATGAGCCTTCCGAGGGCTTTTTTGGGAGGGAAGAGGGGCAGACAGGGGGTTGAGAGGCATCAAAGCCACCTCTTGGTCCTTATCACCACCGTCTTGGTGGCTGGAATCCACCAGAAACTCCTCAAAGAAACAAGAACATCATCCCCAAGCAACCGGTGGGACATGGAGGTGACGTTCCCCAGTGCTGAGGCGGTTGCTGTCTGGCCCCCCCCCCCCCCCTCCTTTCCCTCCCCGAAGGTGAGACGGGGCTGCTGGTCATCAAAATCACCCAGAACACCCCTTTCGACGGCTACGCGGGCGATTCCCAGAAGACAGAGAAGAAGGTCTTGAGGGATGTCCTGGTCAAAGGCGACACCTTCTTCAACAGCGGTGACCTCCTCATGATCGACCACGAAAGATTCGTCTACTTCCAGGACCGCGTGGGAGACACTTTCCGGTAACTCCGATGCTCTCAGCCCCCCACCTGGGCGGGCAGGGTCCCCGGCCAGCCCGAACGCCCCCTCACAGCTTCATCCTTCCTCTTCCCTAGTTGGAAAGGCGAGAATGTGGCCACGACGGAGGTGGAAGCCACTCTTGCCACGGTTAACTTCATCCAGGAGGTCAATGTCTACGGAGTGGCCGTGCCAGGTGAGTACTGGCTGGTGCGGGGGGGGCGAGTCGGGCCCAAATAAAAAGCCGGTGATGCTTCAGCCAGGTGATGTGTCCCCACATGGTCCGAGTGGCCACCGAGAAGCCTAGAGTAGAATGGAAAGGACCTACAGTGATCATCCAGTCCAACTGCCTGACCACTTCAGGAGTCACTGTCACAAAACAGAGAGTCTGGTATTTTTGGGGCTCGTGCTTACTGCCACAACGGTCCAAACAGCCACCAAGATGACTGAAACAGGGCTGGGTCACCCCAAGGCATCTAGTGTTGCTTGGGGCAAGCAACGTGTCCGCGTAACGGACCACCCAGGTCAACACAGGACTTACCCAAATTAAGTTTCCAGCATGGCTTTGGCACAGTGGGTGCCAGTAAAGGTCTGAGGGGCCATCAAAAAGGTTAAAGGGGAACTCGGCTGCCCTAACCAAGTGTCCGGCCTTGCTTTGGGCACGCAACGTACCCCTGCAACGGCCCAAGTAGCCACCAAGAAAAATAAAACGGGACTCGGTTGCCCAAAGGAGTCATCTGGTGGTGTTCCGGGCAACTGGTGTCTCCACGACGGCCCAGGTGGCCACCAGGAAGAGTGAAACTCAAGTTGCCCAAAGTGTCAGTTGCTGTTTCAGGCACACGGTGTGTCGCCGCAATGGTCCAAGCGGCCGCAAAGGAGGCCAGAAAGGGGAAACCCTCACCCCAAACGAGCACCCAGCACTGTTCTGGGCACATGACGTGCCTGCGTCTTGGTCCCAGCGGCCTCCGAGAAAATAAAGTGTCCAAGTGTCCAGCACCGCTCTGGGCACGCAACAGGTCGCCGAAACGGTCCGAGTGGCCAGCGGGGACGAGCCCGCTTTGCCTGAAACAACCCCCCGTCGCCGTTGGCAGGGTGCGAGGGGCGGTGCGGCATGGCAGCCATCCGCCTGAAGCCCGGGGCGAGCTTCGAGGGCGAGAGCCTCTACGCCTTCACCGGGGACACGCTGCCCAGCTACGCCGCCCCCCGCTTCGTGCGCATCCAGGTCAGCGGGCCCGGCTCCGGCGGGGTGGCCCGGGGGGGGGGAGCGGGGGGGCGGGGATTTTGTCGGTCACCCCAGCATCGGGGGGATGGCAGCGGGGTCCCTCCTCCCCCAGGACAGCGGTGGGCACCCCGTGCCGACGACACCACGCAGGTCCCCCCCCGCCTCCAGCGGTGCCCCGGGGTCACCGTTTCCAACGACGGCACCTGCATCCCCCCCCCTTGGTCCCCCGCACCGGGGGGACCCCATTTCTGGCGGCACTGTCCATCCCCCCCCCCCCCATTTCTGACACCATCCACCTCCGCAGGACGCTCTGGAGATCACGGGGACCTTCAAGCAGTGCAAAGGCAACCTCGTCAAAGAAGGCTTTGACCCCAACATCATCAAAGACCCCCTCTTCCTACGGGACGACAAGAAGAAATCGTACGTGCCCCTGAACCCCGACACCTACGCTGCCATCCTGGACATGAAGCTCAACCTGTAGAAGGAGCTGCACCACGCCGGGGTCTCCCTGACGGCCTGGGGCTGTAATTGCCTAGGGGCAACTAGCAAGGCCAATTCGGGGCCCGTCAGGCATTTTTTTGCTTCCTTCAGGGAGTTCCTCGTGGTGTTGGAGCACGATGAGGGTGACGGGCTGGTCTGAGTGCTCGCTATCCCATCCCGACACCCCCGTGCCATGCCGGCTGTGGAAATTAAAGGCTTAATTCCAATTATTTGGGTCCGGGCGAGCGCTGGGCTGTTGACGGCTATTTTCTGGGGACCCACCCACTTGTTTTCCCTTCTGGAGGGGAGAGACGGTGCCCAAAATCCTCCCTGCTGCTGGGAAGTGAATATTTGCTCAGCCCTGGCCTCTTGCTCGCCCTGGGGAGGTATTAAGCCCCAAAACACTCTCATATTCCCAGCCAGGGCTCGCTGAGCCACTTTAGCTCACCGATCTGGAAGAAAGCCGATTTATTTCTCCCTGATCCAGTTTTCTGGCCAGCAGGGACCTAAGCCAGCTCGGGAAGGCAGTCTGGGCTCCCCCGTACATGTCAGGCCCAAAGATGCACCCCGAACCCCCCCCCGACAGCACCGGCTTCTTCCCGCCCCCCCCCCCAGCGCCCGCTGAGCCGGTTTAACCAACACAAAAAGGAGCTCGTTTCACCCCGCGGTTGTTTTCTGCCAGATCAGCGAGCAAAAACCAGCTTGGGGCTGCTCTCCTGGCTCCTCCTCCTCCTCCTCCCGGGTGCGAGCCGTCCCTTTTGGTTTTTCATAGAAAAGGTGAAATCTTTATTTACAAACCTTCCCAGCGGCACCGGGGCGGGGGAGAGGAGGAGAGGAGCCAGGCGTCCGCCGGGAAGCCCTTCACTCGCCGCCGTCACCCAGCAGCTGCAGCTCCACCACGCGCGGCGGGGGCTCCTTGGGGGGTCGGCGAGCCTCGGGGGGGACGCGGCGCTCCCGCTGCAGCTCGCCCACGCGGAGCCGGAGCCGTTGCTCCCGCCGTTTGCAGGCCTGGAGCTGCCGCTGGGCTTTGTCGAGGGCGTCGAGGGCCGCCTCGGCGCGGCGCTTCCAGAGCAGGGCGCTGCCCACCTGGTAGCTGTGCTCGCTCTGGATGTACGCCCCCGCCGGCGGCGGCAGCCGCAGCATGTAAAGGGAGGGGGAAACGGGGCGGGGGGGCGCCGGGGGGTCACCCTCAGGGAGAGCCGGGGTAGCCGTGGCTTCCTCGTCCCCTGTGGCCACCAAAAGGCTGTCCGGGAGGGGACCGCGGGCACCTGAGGGGCCGGGAAGGGCTGGGACACCCCCATGGTCACCGGCGGGGGGGGCGCCGGGGTCTTCGCTCTCCCGGGGGAAGCAGGAGACGTCGGCGGTGAAGGGGGGGTCCGGTGGGGAAGGAGCGGGGTCCTGCCTGCACAGGGAAAAGAAGAGATTAAATTGGGGCGTGGGGACGACCCAGCAGCATCCTGTATCGCCTCCCCCCCCCCCCCGCCCCGAATCTGCCCCCCCACCCCCTGGGACTCACCTCCACCTCCTGGTGGCCCGAGGGGGCTTTGGGGTGTCTCCCTCGGGCGTGGGGGGCTTCAGCTTGGTGGTCCGGGGGGGTTTGGGGGGGGCCGACTCGAAGACAGTGGGCACGGCCCCTTCCTTGAGACGGTGGTAGCCGCTGTGGGGGGCCAGAGTGGGGAGAAAGGGGGGGGGGGGGGCGGTGTCAGTGGGTGGCACACAGCATTTGGGGGGGGTCCCAAAGGCCTGGGGGGGGGGGCATCCCTAGGGTGCCCCATGGCTCTCAGTGTCCTTGGGGTGCTCTGTCCCCAAAAGCCCTGGGGTGCCCCCCAAGCTCTAAAGAGGACTGGGGAACCTGAAAAGCCTTGGAGGGGGTCCCCAAAATGCCTTTGGGGGGGGTCCCTAGGGGGATGCACAGCCTGCAAGGTCTCTTGGGTGCCCTAAAGCCCTGAGAGAAAACAGGAGGTGGGGGGGTGGTATGTATGTGTCTTCCAAAAGCCCTTGGGGTGCTCCATAACCCCCATGTCCCTGGAGTGCTCCCAATACCTCGGGGAGGGGGGGGTCCCTGGGGTGCCCCAAAGCTCTAGGGAAGGTTTATGGGCCCTGAATAAGCGCTGGGGGGAGGGTTTCCCCCCCAAAAAACCTTGGTTGTGGGTGCTTCAGGGTGCTCCAGGGACTCCCCAGCAGCACTGGGGGGGGGAGGATCCCCAGCTGGGAAATTGAGGCTGGGGGGGGCGCAGTCAGAGCAAACCATTTCCACTCACAGCGGGGAGGGACGGACCCCAGGAAGCCCCAGTCCGGAGCAGTCCATTTTAAATCAAATGGGGGGGGGGGTGACGGTGTTAATTAGGCCAACCCATTCTCTGCAGGGGAAGTGGGGGACACACACTTCATTAAGCACCTCGTTAGCCTCATTAGGTACCTGAAGCCGACTATCTCGAAGCAGCTCTTCTCAAAGTGCTGGGAGCAGAAGTAGATGTACTTGGAGGCCGGGTCCCAGCGGCCCTCCCCGCTCGCGTTCCGCCGCTGGCTGTTCTCCAGCCACAGTGCCCGCCGCGGGTTGTCCTTCTTGGGCAGCCTTGGGGACAGACGCGGGGACACACACACACACACAGATGGGGGATGGACACAAACAAATCAGCTGCCAGGTGACGGTCTCAAAAATCCACTCCCCACCAGCCCATTTTCTGCAAAGTTGGAGGGGTGTATCCCTCCACCCCCCCCCGAAGCTGCAAATGGAAGAGTCCAGGGAGGCCCAGTTAAAGGGGATGGGGCTAAACCACTCCTGAAATGGGGAGCAGGGGGGGTGAGGGGGAACCACACCTTGGCCAAACCATTGCTAAGGGTGGGGGGGAACACACCTGGGACAGCTCACTGCTAAATTGTGGGGGGGTGGGGTGGGGGGAACACACACCTGGGACAGTTCATTGCTAAATGGGGGGGGAACACGCACCTGGGATGGCCCATTGCTAAATGGGGGGGGGGAACACGCACCTGGGATGGCCCATTGCTAAATGGGGGGGGGAACACGCACCTGGGATGGCCCATTGCTAAATGGGGGGGGGAACACGCACCTGGGATGGCCCATTGCTAAATGGGGGGGGGAACACGCACCTGGGATGGCCCATTGCTAAATGGGGGGGGGAACACGCACCTGGGATGGCCCATTGCTAAATGGGGGGGGGGAAGACGCACCTGGGATGGCCCATTGCTAAATGGGGGGGGGGGGGAACACGCACCTGGGATGGCCCATTGCTAAATGGGGGGGGGAACACGCACCTGGGATGGCCCATTGCTAAATGGGGGGGGAACAACACACACCTGGGATGGCCCATTGCTAAATGGGGGGGGGGGAACACGCACCTGGGATGGCCCATTGCTAAATGGGGGGGGGGGGAACACGCACCTGGGACAGCCCCCCACTAGAAGCAGGGGAGGGGCAAATGAAGCATGAAAGAGGGGGAACACCACCCCAAAAACCTCATCACGAGTTAGAAAACAGGGAGAGACCCCTCGGTCCGACCGCTCGGGGGGGGGGGGGGGGGGGGCTGCAAGGCTGAGGCCAAGGGGTGGGGGGTGTCCCCCAAGGGGGTTGCGGGGGCACCCACCGGTGGAAGGAGATGCCTCGGTCACGGGTCTCCCGCGTGTCGCGGGTGCAGCAGCCGGCAGCAGAGCAGTGACGGGGCATCTGGGGGGGGGGAAGCAGGAAAAAGAGGGGGTGAGTAGGTTCTCCCACAGGAACCCCCCCAAAAACTGCAGCTGCTCCCCCCGCGTCCCACGCGAACAGCCAACTCTTAAGCCACCTCCCTCCCCCCCACCCCCCCAACCAACTCCGACCCCCCCGTCCCCCCCCCCCGGACCCCCCCGTCCCCCCCCCCGGTCCCGGGGCCCACAGGCTGCCCCAGGTGATGGAGTCACTGGGGGGGGGGGGGGGGGAGGCGGGGGATGACGTCACGAGGACGCAAAGCACCCCGGGGGCCGTTGCTAAGGGCCGCGGTTGTCAAGGTGGGGGGGGGGGGGCCGGAAGGGGCGGACACCCCCCCCCCCCCGGTCCCGGGGCCGGTTCCCGGGCGCGGCCTCACCTCGGCGCTCCCATCCCGCCGCCGCCGCCGCCGCCGCCGCTCTCGCGAGAACCCGCGAGACTCCCACACCTCGCGAGAGCGCCTGCGCGTCTCTCCCCTCCTCCCCCCCCCCCCAAACCCCGCCCCTTCTCCTTCATTGGCTGCGAGGCGCCGAGGGGGGCGTGGCCCACCATCACGGCACCGCCCGCCCCCTTCCCCGCGCTGGGAAGTTCCCGCCCCGCCCTCTCCTCCTTCCCGCCCCCCCCTTCATTAGCATTCTGCGCAGTCATTGGCCAGGCGAGCCCCGCCCCCTCCGATAGCCCCGCCCCTCCGCCGTGAGCGTTTCAAGGCCCCCCCCCCCCCAGCCGCGTGGGTTTTTGGGGGGTTTCAAGGCTCCCGCCCCCCTCTAGGGCCACGGCAAGGGGAGGGGGTTGAGACTCCTCCCCCCTTGCCCCCCGCTAATTGGGGCAAAGAGGGTTTCAAGGTCTCCCTGACACGGTTTTGGGGTGTTTCAAGGCTCCCCCAACCTGGGGCTGAGGTGTAGCTTGAGACACAAACACCCCCCCCCATGTGGATTGGGAGGGTGAGGCTCCCCACGCACAGTGTTTTGGGGAGAGTTTCAAGGCCTCCCCCCAAAATGGGCTCTGGGGGCGTTTTGAGCCACCCCCCCCCCCCCCACACACACACACAGACGGGGGGGGGGGGGGCAGATCCATCGTAAAGCCACTTTAATGAATATGGCCAAGCCCCGCCCCCGGGAAGCCCCACCCCTGAATAAGCCCCACCCCTACCGCCAGAGGCTGGGCGGGGGTCCCTGGGGGTCGCTCTCCAGGGGCTCCTCGGTCCTAAAAGCGGTTTCAGGGCTGGACCCCAGGGGCGGTTTGGAGCCTCCCCCCCCCCCCGCCAAGACTGGAAGCGGTTTCAAGGGTCCCCCCCGGTATTGGGGGTGGTTTCAAGGGTCCCCCCCCGGCTTGGGCGCGGCTCTCAGGCCACCCCCAGGACCAGAAGCCTTTTGGCGGGGGTCCCTGGGGGCGGTTTCGAGCCCCCCCCACGAGCGGGGGGCGGTTTCGAGGAGCTCCCCGAGGGCCCAGGGCGGGGACCCGCTGCCGCTGCTGTCGCCGTCGCTGTCCTCGTCCTCCCCCCGCAGCATGCGGCGCACCGTGTGCGACAGCGTCAGCGGGTCGCACCTGGGGGCAGCCCAGAAGGATTTGGGGTGGCCCCCCCAGAGACCCCCAATATCCCATAATCCCCCCGTCCCATACAGCCCCCCCAGCCCCCCCACTATCCCATAATCCTCCAGCCCCATACAGCCCCCCCAGCCCCCCCACTATCCCATAATCCCCCCGTCTAGTACAGCCCCCCCAGCCCCCCAATATCCCATAATCCCCCAGCCCCATACAGCCCCCCCAGCCCCCCAATATCCCATAATACCCCAGCCCCATACAGCCCCCCCAGCCCCCCAATATCCCATAATACCCCAGCCCCATACAGCCCCCCCCGCCCCCCCAATATCCCATAATACCCCAGCCCCATACAGTCCCCCCAGCCCCCCCACTATCCCATAATCCCCCCGTCTAGTACAGCCCCCCCAGAGCCCCCCAATATCCCATAATCCCCCAGCCCCATACAGCCCCCCCCGCCCCCCCAATATCCCATAATACCCCAGCCCCATACAGCCCCCCCAGCCCCCCCACTATCCCATAATCCCCCCGTCTAGTACAGCCCCCCCAGCCCCCCCAATATCCCATAATACCCCAGCCCCATACAGCCCCCCAATATCCCATAATCCCCCCATCCCATACAGCCCCCCCTGCCCCCCCAATATCCCATAATACCCCAGCCCCATACAGCCCCCCACTATCCCATAATCCCCCAGCCCCATACAGCCCACCCAGCCCCCCACTATCCCATAATACCCCAGCCCCATACAGCCCCCCAATATCCCATAATCCCCCAGCCCCATACAGCCCCCCCAGCCCCCCAATATCCCATAATCCCCCAGCCCCATACAGCCCCCCCAGCCTCCCACTATCCCATAATACCCCAGCCCCATACAGCCCCCCCAGCCCCCCCACTATCCCATAATCCCCTGGTCCATCCAGCCCCTCCCAGAGCTATAGGGGACTATAGGGTCTATGGGGAACTGCTGGGGGCTGTAGGGCCTATAGGGGCCATGGGGCGCTGCTGGGGGCTATGGCCAGGCTATAGGGGCACAGGGGGAGCTATAGGGTGCTGGGGCGGGGGGTTATAGGTACCTGTGGGAGGCTATAGGGTACTACGGGTGATGGTAGGGGCCCATAGGGGGTTACAGAGGGACCTATAGTGGTGCTGGGGGGGGATATAAGGGGACTATAAGGTTTAGTAAGAGCCTTTGGGGTGGCTACAGGGGAGCTATAAGTGAACTATAGGAAGCTATAGGGTGCTATAGGGACACATAGGGAGCTATAGGGACACATAGGGAGCTATAGGGAGCTATAGGGGCACATAGGGGGCTATAGGGAGCTATAGGGGCACATAGGGAGCTATAGGGGCACATAGGGAGCTATAGGGAGCTATAGGGGCACATAGGGAGCTATAGGGAGCTATAGGGACACATAGGGAGCTATAGGGACACATAGGGGGCTATAGGGTGCTATAGGGACACATAGGGAGCTATAGGGACACATAGGGGGCTATAGGGACACATAGGGAGCTATAGGGAGCTATGGGGACACATAGGGAGCTATAGGGGCACATAGGGAGCTATAGGGAGCTATGGGGACACATAGGGGGCTATAGGGGCACATAGCAGGCTATAGGGAGCTATAGGGGCACATAGGGAGCTATAGGGGCACATAGGGGGCTATAGGGAGCTATGGGGACACATAGGGAGCTATAGGGGCACATAGGGGGCTATAGGGAGCTATAGGGGCACATAGGGGGCTGTAGGGGCACATAGGGGGCTATAGGGAGCTATAGGGGCACATAGGGGGCTGTAGGGGCACATAGGGGGCTATAGGGAGCTATAGGGGCACATAGGGGGCTATAGGGTGCTGAGGTGGGCCCACAGGCGGGCTCCAGGGGGGCTCTAGGTCAGCCGCAGGGACACAGCGGGTGCTGTGGGGCCCGTGGGGCTGTGCGGGGCCGCCGGGTCCCACCTGAGGCGAGCCCGCAGGGCGGCCACGTGGCGAGCGGTGGCCGCGGCCCCGTCCCCGACGGCCTCCAGCGCCCGGCGCAGGCGCTGGCCCTGGGCCTGGGCACGGGCCGTCCCCGCGGCCACCGCGGCCACCCGCTCCCCCAGCGCCCGCCCCGCCGCCTCGCTGGCCTGCGCCTGCGGGGACACGGGGCACGCGGCGTGGGACACGGGGGCACGGGGGCACACGGACACGGGGGCATGGGGGCACGCGGCGTGGGACACGGGGGCACGCGGCGTGGGACACGGGGACACGGGGACATGGGGCACGCGGCGTGGGACACGGGGGCACGGGGGCACACGGACACGGGGGCATGGGGGCACGCGGCGTGGGACATGGGGACACAGGGACACGGGGGCACGCGGACACGGGGACACGCGGCGTGGGACACGGGGGCACGGGGCACGCGGCGTGGGACACGGGGGCACGGGGGCACGGGGCACGCGGCGTGGGACACGGGGACATGGGGCACGCGGCGTGGGACATGGGGACACGGGGACACGTGGCGTGGGACATGGGGACACGGGGACACGCGGCGTGGGACACGGGGGCACGGGGGCACGGGGACACAGGGGCACACGGCGTGGGACACGGGCACGGGGGCATGGGGACACGGGGGCACGCGGCATGGGACACGGGCACGGGGGCATGGGGGCACGCGGCGTGGGACACGGGGACACAGGGGCACGGGGACACGGGGACACGCGGCGTGGGACACGGGGACATGGGGGCACGGGGGCACGGGTGCACGCAGCGTGGGACACGTTTTTTTTTAACACTGCCCTTCCCCGCCCCCCCCCCCCCATGGCCAGGGAACCCATGGCAGACACCCGTGTGCCGTCACACCCCCCACCCACCCCCCCCCGCCGCGATGTCACCCGTGGGTGCCGTCACCCCCCACCTGCAGGCGGTAGCGCTCCCCCCGCAGCCGCTGCTCCTCCACCTCCGCCAGCAGCACCCGCAGCCGCCGGCCCGCTGCCCGCCCCGCCCGGGCCAGCGCCGCCCGCGCCCTGCACCCACGGGTGCCCCCCGTCACCCCAGGGCGCCCCCGGGGTGACCCGCGGCACCTGCTGCCGGGTCCAGTGTCACCCGCACCCCTGGGGACCCCGGGTCACCCTGGCGGGGGGGCCCATGGGACCTGCTGTCACCCCACCGCACTTGTGGGTCCCCTGTGCCACCCCACAGCACCCACAGGGTGCCCCACGGCATCCAGCAGCACCCGTGGGAAAGCCGGGGGGGGACCTCGGGGGCACTGGGCACCCTGGGAGCAGCCTGGGCCACCCTGAGGGGGCTCTGGGGCCACCTTGGGCCACTCTGGGCCACCCTGGGACATCCTGGGGACATCCTGGACCACCTTGGACCACCCTGGGGCCACCCAGGAGCACCCTGGGGCCACCCTGGGGCCACCCTGGGCCACCCTGGGACCACCCTGGGGCCACCCAAGAGCACCCTGGGGCCACCCTGGGGCCACCCTGGGCCACCCTGGCCCCCCCTGGTGCCACCCAAGAGCACCCTGGGGCCACCCTGGAACCACCCTGGGGCCACCCTGGGACCACCCTGGGGCCACCCAAGAGCACCCTGGGGCCACCCTGGACCCCCCTGGGGCCACCCTGGGACCACCCTGGGGCCACCCTGGACGCCCCTGGGGCCACCCTGGACCACCCTGGGGCCACCCAGGAGCACCCTGGGACCACCCTGGGGCCACCCTGGGGCCACCTTGGACCCCCCCGGGGCCACCCCGGGGCCCCCGGCTCACCCGGCCTCCCGGTGCAGGAGCTCCTGGAGGTGGAGGCAGCGGGCGCGCAGGGCGGCCTCGGCGGGGCCCGGGGGCACCCCTGGGTGCTGCAGCCGCCCCCGCAGCACCCGCTGCTCCTGCTCCAGCCGGGCCCGCGCCCCCGCCGCCTCCCGCGCCCGCGCCCCCGCCGCCGCCAGCGCCCGCCGCAGCTCCTCCGCCTGCACCCAACGGGGGCACCCGCGGGGGTCAGTGCCCGGCCCCGGTGGCACCCGCAGCGCCCACACGGCACCCGCAGCACCCACACGGCACCCGCAGCACCCACAGGGCACCCACAGCACCCACAGGGCACACACAGCACCCACAGCACCCACAGGGCACCCACAGCACCCACAGGGAACACACAGCACCCACAGAGCACCCACAGGGCACACACAGCACCCACAGCACCCACAGGGCACCCACAGCACCCACAGCACCCACAGAGCACCCACAGGGCACACACAGCACCCACAGCACCCACAGAGCACCCACAGGGCACACACAGCACCCACAGCACCCACAGGGCACCCACAGCACCCACAGCACCCACAGCACCCACAGAGCACACACAGCACCCACAGCACCCACAGAGCACCCACAGCACCCACAGCACCCACAGCACCCACAGCACCCACAGGGCACACACAGCACCCACAGCACCCACAGGGCACCCACAGCACCCACAGCACCCACAGCACCCACAGAGCACCCACAGCACCCACAGCACCCACAGAGCACCCACAGCACCCACAGCACCCACAGCACCCACAGCACCCACAGGGCACACACAGCACCCACAGGGCACACACAGCACCCACAGCACCCACAGAGCACCCACAGCACCCACAGCACCCACAGCACCCACAGCACCCACAGGGCACACACAGCACCCACAGCACCCACAGAGCACCCACAGCACCCACAGGGCACCCGCAGCACCCACCAGTGCCCCCCCAGCTGCCCCCCCAGCACCCACCGGTGCCCCCCCAGCACCCACACCAGCACCGCCCCCCCCCCCGTGCCCATAGGTGCCTCCATACATCCCGCTTCAGATCTCCCATAGGTGCCTTTACATCCCCCCCCCCCATACGTCCCCCCTGTGCCCTCGTGCCCCCACGTCCCCTCCATAGGTGCCCCCATCCCCCCCCCATCCCCCATACATCCCCCTATACATCCCGCCATAGGTGCATGTCCCCCATGCCCCCACCCCCCCTCAGTCTCCCTCTGGGTGCCCCCATGCCCCCACACGTCCCCCCGCGGTGCCCCCCCTATATCCCCTATAGGTGCCCCCCTACATCCCCTATAGGTGCCCCGACCTGGGCCCGCCGCTGGTGCAGGCGCTGCTGCAGCTCCCGGTTGTGCTCCCGCAGCTCCGCCAGCGCCGCCTGCAGCCCCCCGGGGGCCTGCCCCCCCCTGCACCCATAGCCGCTATAGGGGCTGCGGGGGGGCGGGGAAAGGGGGGAGTGTACGGGGGAGCCATAGGGGCTGTGCTGGGGGGGCTATAGGGGACGTGCTGTGGGGGCTATAGGGGCTGTGCTGGGGGGGCTATAGGGGCTGTGCTGGGGGGGCTATAGGGGATGCACTGGGGGGGCTATAGGGGACGCGCTGTGGGGGCTATAGGGGCTGTGCTGGGGGGGCTATAGGGGACGCGCTGTGGGGGCTATAGGGGCTGTGCTGGGGGGGCTATAGGGGATGCACTTGGGCGGCTATAGGGGATGCGCTGTGGGGGCTATAGGGGCTGTGCTGGGGGGGCTATAGGGGATGCGCTGGGGGGGCTATAGGGGATGCACTTGGGCGGCTATAGGGGATGCGCTGTGGGGGCTGTAGGGGATAGGCTGGGGGGGTATAGGGGATGCACTTGGGGGGCTATAGGGGACGCGCTGTGGGGGCTATAGGGGACATGCTGTGGGGGCTGTAGGGGATAGGCTGGGGGGCTATAGGGGATGCACTTGGGGGGCTATAGGGGACGCGCTGTGGGGGCTATAGGGGACATGCTGTGGGGGCTATAGGGGACGCGCTGGGGGGGCTATAGGGGACACGCTGGGGGGGCTATAGGGGACGTGCTGTGGGGGCTATAGGGGACGCGCTGGGGGGGCTATAGGGGACGCGCTGGGGGGGCTATAGGGGACGTGCTGTGGGGGGCTATAGGGGACGTGCTGTGGGGGCTATAGGGGACGTGCTGGGGGGGCTATAGGGGACGCGCTGGGGGGGCTATAGGGGACGTGCTGGGGGGGCTATAGGGGACGCACTGGGGGGGCTATAGGGGACGTGCTGTGGGGGCTATAGGGGACGCGCTGGGGGGGCTATAGGGGACGTGCTGTGGGGGCTATAGGGGACGTGCTGGGGGGGCTATAGGGGACGTGCTGTGGGGGCTATAGGGGACGCGCTGGGGGGGCTATAGGGGACGCGCTGTGGGGGCTATAGGGGACGCGCTGGGGGGGCTATAGGGGCTGTGCTGGGGGGGCTATAGGGGACGCGCTGGGGGGGCTATAGGGGACGCGCTGGGGGGGCTATAGGGGCTGTGCTGGGGGGGCTATAGGGGACGTGCTGTGGGGGCTATAGGGGAAGTGCTGTGGGGGCTATAGGGGCTGTGCTGTGGGGGCTATAGGGGCTGTGCTGTGGGGGCTATAGGGGACGTGCTGTGGGGGCTATAGGGGACGTGCTGTGGGGGCTATAGGGGCTGTGCTGGGGGGGCTATAGGGGATGCGCTGGGGGGGCTATAGGGGATAGGCTGGGGGGGTATAGGGGATGCACTTGGGGGGCTATAGGGGACGCGCTGTGGGGGCTATAGGGGACATGCTGTGGGGGGCTATAGGGGACGCGCTGGGGGGGCTATAGGGGACGTGCTGTGGGGGCTATAGGGGACGTGCTGTGGGGGCTATAGGGGACACAGCCTGGGGGGGCTATAGGGCTGTGCTGTGGGGGCTATAGGGGATGCACTTGGGCGGCTATAGGGGATGCGCTGTGGGGGCTATAGGGGACGCGCTGGGGGGGCTATAGGGGCTGTGCTGTGGGGGCTATAGGGGACGCGCTGGGGGGGCTATAGGGGACGCGCTGTGGGGGCTATAGGGGACGTGCTGGGGGGGCTATAGGGGACGTGCTGTGGGGGCTATAGGGGACGCGCTGTGGGGGGCTATAGGGGATGCACTTGGGCGGCTATAGGGGACGCGCTGGGGGGGCTATAGGGGACGTGCTGTGGGGGCTATAGGGGACGTGCTGTGGGGGCTATAGGGGACGCGCTGGGGGGGCTATAGGAGACGTGCTGGGGGGGCTATAGGGGACGTGCTGTGGGGGCTATAGGGGATGCACTGGGGGGGCTATAGGGGACGCGCTGGGGGGGCTATAGGGGACGTGCTGTGGGGGCTATAGGGGACGCGCTGTGGGGGCTATAGGGGCTGTGCTGGGGGGGCTATAGGGGCTGTGCTGTGGGGGCTATAGGGGACGTGCTGGGGGGCTATAGGGGACGTGCTGGGGGGCTATAGGGGACATGCTGTGGGGGCTATAGGGGACGCACTGGGGGGGCTATAGGGGACGTGCTGGGGGGGCTATAGGGGACGCGCTGGGGGGGCTATAGGGGACGTGCTGGGGGGGCTATAGGGGACGCGCTGGGGGGGCTATAGGGGACGCGCTGGGGGGGCTATAGGGGACGTGCTGGGGGGGCTATAGGGGACGCGCTGGGGGGGCTATAGGGGACGCACTGGGGGGGCTATAGGGGATGCACTGGGGGGCTATAGGGGACGTGCCATGAGGGTGCCCTATAGGGGCCGTGTATAGGGGTGTGAGCGTGGGCAGGGAAGGGGCGTGGCCAGGGAGGGGCGGGCACTCACGTGGGGCTGGGTGGGTGGGGCACGTGGGCAGCCAGGTCATCACGCTCCTGCTCCGCCCGCCGCCGGGCATGCTGGGCTGCCGCCACCGCCTGGGGGGGGTGGACACGCCCCCCTGGAAGCTCCGCCCACCATAGCCCCACCCCATGGTCCTATAGCCCCACCCCATTGCTCATTAGCCCCGCCCCCTGCAATTAGCCCCGCCCTGCTGACTTTTAGCCCTGTCAGTGCGTCCAATAGCCCCGCCCCTGAGGTAGCTTAGCCCCGCCCCAAATAATGTAGCCACGCCCTCATGATGCGTTAGCCCCGCCCACCTGCCGCAGCCGCTCCAGCTCCGCCTCCCTGGCACGACACTGTGACTCCGCCTCCCGTGCCCGGAGCTCCGCCCCTGCCCTGGCAACACGTGCCGCCTCCAGCTCCGCCCACAGCAGGTGCCCCGCCTCCTAGGGGAGGGGCTGTTTTGGTGAGATGCCACGCCCACCCGGTAAGCCCCGCCCCAGACAATGCCCCGCCCCCAGGCCGAAGCCCCACCCACCCTCCAGATACCCCACCTTCCTCCCAGGCCACACCCCCTCTAGACACGCCCCTTTTTAGCCCCCACCATCACTCAATCCCGCCCCCTGACCCCTGACTGACCTTGCCAGAGGCTCCGCCCCCTCTCAGGCACCACCCACCTGCTGCTGGCGCAGGCGCTCACAGGCCCGGTCTCGAGCACGATAGGCTCCGCCCACCCGGGCCTGGGCTCCACCCACTGCTATCTCCAGGGCCCGCAGTGCCCCGCCTGCTGCCAGGCTCCGCCCCCTCTCCTCTGCCAGGCTCCGCCCCAGCACTGCCACCTGACCGGGGGCGGGAACAGGCTGTGAGTGACAGCCCCTTGCCCCGCCTTCAGGTGACTGACAAGCCCCATGCCCCACCCCTCTGGTGATGGGCAGCCCAAATCCCACCTCAAGGGTGATGGACAGTTCCATGCCCCTCCCACCAGGGTGATGGGTAGCTCCATGCTCCACCCACCATGGTGATTGACAGCTCCATGCCCTGCCTACCAGGGCGAGAGACAGCCCCATGTCCCGCCCACCAGGGTTATGAACAGCCCCATGCCCCGCCCACCATGGTGATGGACCACTCCATACCCCACCCATCAAGGTGATGGACAGCTACATGCCCCGCCTATCAGTGTGATGGGCAGCCCCATGCCCTGCCCACCAAGGTGATGGACAGACCCATGCCCCTCCCATCAGGGTGATGACAGGTCCATGCCCCTCCTGCCATGGTGATTGACAGCTCCACACCCCGCCCACCAGAGCGAGGGACAGCCCCATGTCCCGCCCCCTGCCGGGCCTGCCCCAGAGCCCTGCAGAAGGGAGGGGCTAGGCTGTTATTGACAGGTGCTGGCCACGCCCCTCCACCCATGCCCCGCCCACCTGGTTGCTGAGGTCACGGAGCTCCTCCTCCAGGTCCCGGCGGTGCTGTGCCTGGGGGGGGGGGGGGGGGCACCCGGGCGTGCGGGGGGACCCACCTCAGGGTCCCACCCGCGGGGCGGTCCCTCGTGGGGAGCGGGGGGGGGGGGGGGATGCCCGGAGCCCGGGGGGGGCGGGGGGAGGGGAGCCGAGGGCTCCTGGCCGCCTGGGCTCCCTTCCCCCGCCCCGTGCCCTAATTCCAGCCCGAGGTCTGGACTGGGGCCAGGGGGGCCGGGGAGGGGGTGCCCGGACGCCTGGATCCCCCAGCCAAATGGGGGGGCTGGGGGGGGGCAGGGAGCTCGGGTGTCTGGGGCCCCTGGGGGGGGGGCTCCCCCCAAATGCCTCGATCCCCCCCCCCCCCCCCCCCAGATCCCTGGGTTCCCCCACTGGAGTTGAGGCTTCCCCAGACGTTTGGGTGACACCCCCCACCCTCCCCCCCCAAAAAACCCTGGGGGCGTCCCCCCCGTTGGACAGCGGGGGGGTCCCTGTGTGTCCCCCCCCCCCCCCCAGACACCCGGGTCCCACTCACCTGCACCAGCCTGGTGGGGCCACATCGTCCCCCGTCACCCTCGTCCACCATGGCACAAAGGGTCCCTGGGGAGACCCTACAATAACATCCTCCCCCCCCCCCAAAAAAAAAAAAAAGCAGGTGCAACCCAGACCCCTGAGCCCCCCCGACAGCTCTGGATGGACTCAGGACCCCTCTGGGTGCTTTTGGGGAGGGGGGTAGAAGGGGTGGGGGGTGCCCTGATGGAGGGGGGATCCTTGAGATAGCAAAGGGGGGGGGGGGGGGAGGGATGTTGGGACACGGGGGTCCCCTGCGCACCCCGGGGGGGGGGGGGGGTGCCTGTGTCCCCCTCACCTGCTGCGGGTCCGTCCCCGCGACGCGGAGCTCCCGGGACGGTGCGACTGGAGCGGGCGGGAACTCCCTGGGTCACCCACGCCGCCGGCACGGGAGGACCCGCGTTATTCGGGCACCTCCTCCCCCCCGGGCTCTACCCACGGGGCGCAGCGCCCCCCCCCCACCCCCCCCCGAGGGCACCCAGGTGTCCGGGGAGATCAGTTCGCCTCCAACCCTTGGGCGCCACCGCCCGCCCTCGCCGGAGGGTCCCCGGATGCCTCCACCCCCCCCCCCCGGGGCACCCAGCCACCCCCCCCCCCCGAGGGGGTGTAGGTGTTGGGGTGTAATCCCAGGGTGGTGTCACGGCGTCACCTGCGATCAGAGAATCACGGGGTGGGTTTGGGTGGGAAGGGACCTCACAGCCCCCCCCGGGCGCCCCCCCCTGCCCCGGGCAGGGCCCCCTTCCCCCAGCCCAGGGGGCTCCCAGCCCCGTCCAACCTGGCCTGGAACCCTTCCAGGGAGGGGGCACCCACAGCTGCTCTGGGCACCCTGGGCCAGCGCCTCACCCCCCGCACAGGGAAGGATTTCTGCCTCAGATCTCACCTAAATCTGCCCTCTTTCAGCTTAAAACCATCACCCCTTGTCCCATCCCCACCCCCTGACCCAGAGGGGGGTTTAAGCCCTGGGAGGCCGCTCTCAGGGTCCCCCCGGAGCCTTCTCTTCTCCAGGCTGATCCCCCCCAACTCTCTCAGCCCGGCCCCCCAGGGGAGCTGCTCCAGCCCCCCCAGCATCTCCGTGGCCTCCTCTGGCCCCGCTCGAGCAGCTCCGGGTCCTTCTGCTGTTGGGGGCCCCCGAGCTGGCCCCAGCACTGCAGGGGGGTCTCCCCAGAGCGGAGCAGAGGGGGAGAATCCCCTCCCTGGCCCTGCTGCCCCCCCTGCTCTGGCTGCAGCCCAGGGCACGGGTGGGTTCTGGGCTGCCAGTGCACGGGGCTGCCCCACGGGCAGTTTTCCCCCCACCAGCCCCCCCAGTCCCTCTCCTTGGGGCTGCTCTCCAGCCACCCCTCGCCCAGCCTGGATTTGGGCTGGGGATCGCCCCAACCCCGGGCAGGACCTTGCCCTTGGCCGTGTTGAACCCCACGAGGTTTGCCCGGCCCCCCCTCCCCAGCCTGCCCAGGCCCCTCGGGGTGCCGCCCTTGCCCCCAGCGTGCCCCCCCGCCACGCAGCTCGGGGCCGTGGGGGAACTCGCCGACGGGGCGCCCGAGCCCGTGTCCGCGCCGCCAACAAAGACGTCAACCAGTGCCGGGACCGCCGCTCGCCCCGCCGCCCTCCGCTTGGCCACCGAGCCGTTGGCCGCGAGTCCCGGGGTGCCAGCACCCAGCCCGCTCCTCGCCCAGCGGGTGCCCCTCCGCCGCGCCCCCGCCCCTGGTTTAGGGACCAGGCTGCCGCCTGGGACGGTGGCGGAAGGTCGACGCCGATCCAGGGAGGCGCCGTCTGCTCCTCTTCCCTCGTCCGCCAGCGCTGGAACCCCGTCGTGGGAGGCCAGCGGGTCTGTCGCGGTGCCGGCCGTGGTGCCACAGAGGGGCAGCGCGGGGCCAAGGGGGTGGCTGGGGCTGTGGGAGCAGCTGTGATGTCACGGCGCCGGGCGCAGCCGTGACGTCACTGTTGGGTTTTTTACGGCTGACCAGCACGGCCGCGGCGGGGAAGGGCCGGGGGGGGGATCTCCGTGGTGGGCGCCCAGCTGCGCCGAGGGGGTCACCGTGTCGTGGAAACGGCGTCCCCCGAGGTGATCGGCGCGTGGGCCAGCAGGGAGAAGCGTGGAGAGGCACGGGTCATCGGAGATCAGCGGGGAGCAAGCCGGGTCAGCGCACATCAGCATGGGGCGGCTGTCATGGGCCAACACAGGCCTACGTGGGCCAAGACGGAGCGACGGAGGGGGACACGGGTTAACATGGACCAGCCCGGGTCGACGGCACGGAGCAGTAGGAATCGGCACGGGTCAACACGGGTCGATACAGAGCAACGTGGGTCAGCGGAGTTCAACCGCAACACGCGTCAGCAGGGGTGAGCACAGGTCAACAGGGGTCGGCATGGATCAACATGGATCGATGTGGGTCAAAAACGTGGGTCAGCGTGGGGCAGTACAGACTGACACGGGCCAACATGGGCCGACAGAGGTCAAAAACCATTGGTCAACACAGATCAGTACTGGATCAACACGGGTCAACACGAATTGACATGTGTCACCATGGATGAACACAGGTCTACATGGGTCAAAATGGAGCAACAGAGTGACACGGGTCAACATAGATCAGCATAGATCAAAGCGGGTCAACGCATAGGCCAACATGGGTCAAGAAACATGGGTCAACACAGACCGACACAGGCCAACATGGGCCGACATGGGTCACCGCAAATCAACATACACGGATCAACACACGCTGACATGGGCCAACATGGGCCAACATGGGTCAACATGAGCCAACATGGGCCAACATGGGTCACCGCAAATCAACATACATGGATCAACACACGCTGACATGGGCCAACATGGGCCAACATGGGTCAGCATGGGCCAACATGGGCCAACATGGGTCACCGCAAATCAACATACACGGATCAACACACGCTGACATGGGCCAACATGGGTCATCAACAGCCAACATCACCCCATCACATGGAGAGCCACAAGTACTGGGGTGTGGAGGGCGGGGCTCTGACACAGCCGTGATGTCATCACAGGGGAATGCATGATGTCAGAGACAGAAGGGAGTCAGCGTGAGAAGTCACCCCACTCCAGGGCCAGGAAGTGACATCACCAGTGGGCGAGAAGTGACCTCACTCATGGAGCAGGAGGATTATGCCTGACCTGATCAGACCAATCTCTGATGTCACCAAGGGCCCAGGAAATGACGTCATCAACTTACCAGGCTGGGTGACAGGCCCAGCCCACGCAGTGAGGTCATCGCTGGGTGAGGAAGTGATGTCACTGCCAGGGGCGGGGCGTGAAGTGACATCAGGGGCAGAGCAGGAAGTGCCACCATGCTCCCAACAGGCTGTGACATCACCAGCCCCTATGGGGCGCTATAGGGGCTGTGGGGGCGGGGCCACTTTGGCCCTCCGGGGTCTATAGGGGATCCCTGAGCTCACAGAGATCCCTACAGCGGTCTATAGGGGACGCTAGCCCCATAGGGATCCCGAGGCGGCGGTCTATAGGGGATCCTGACCCCATATGGGATTCCTGCAGGGATCCCCGGATCACCCCGGTGCAATCTATAAGGACTCCCGACCTTATGGGGGTCCCTGTGGAGAACTGCAGGGGGTCACGGCCCCATGGCAATCTCTGTGGGCATCTATAGGTCCTCCAGACCTTGTGGGAGTCCCCAGGGGGGTCTATAGGGGATCCAGGCCCTACGGGGATCCCTGGGGGGGTCTATAGGGGGATCCAGATCCTATGGGGGTCTGTATGGATCCACATGGGGGATCTAAGTGATCGAGGCCCTACAGGCACCTACGGAGGGTCCAGGCCCCCTATGGGGATCTACGGGGCATCTGGACCCTATAGAGATCCCTATGGGAATCTATAAGTCATCCAGGATCTGCAGGGGTCTAGAGGGAATCACAACCACAGGGGGGTCTATAGGGAGATCTGGGCCCTATGGGGGGATTCTGGGGGGTGTGTCTATAGGGCATGAAGGCCCCTATACAGGTACATAGGAGGACCAGGCTCTATGGGGCTCCATAGGTGATCCAGACTTATGGGGAACTGCTTGGGGATTTATATGGCACAAAGGATCTGCTGGGTCTATAGGGGATCCCTCTGGCAGCCTATAGAGGATAGTGACCCTATGGGGGTCCTTCTGGGAGTCTATAGGGCACTGCAGCTATATGGGGGATATATGGGGTTCTATAAGGGATCCAAGCCCTGTGGAGTTCTCTGTGGAGGTCTATAGGGCTTCTAACCCTATGGGGTCTATGGGGTCTGTAGCCAGATGGGGGTCCCAGTGGAGGGATCCCAGCCCGACAGGGGTCCCTATGGGGGTCTATAGGGGACTGCAGCCCAATGGAGGTCCCAGTGGAGGTCTATAGGGGATCGAGGGACTATGTGGGTCTCTATGGGGCCTATAGGGGATGACAGCACTATGGGGTCTCTATGGGGTCTATAGGGGATGACAGCACTACGGGGTCCCTATGGGGTCTATAGGGGGTGACAGCACTATGGGGTCTCTATGGGGTCTATAGGGGATGGCAGCACTATGGGGTCCCTATGGGGTCTATAGGGGGTGACAGCACTACGGGGTCTCTATGGGGCCTATAGGGGGTGACAGCACTACGGGGTCCCTATGGGGTCTATAGGGGATGACAGCACTACAGGGTCTCTATGGGGTCTATAGGGGGTGACAGCACTACGGGGTCTCTATGGGGTCTATAGGGGGTGACAGCACTACGGGGTCCCTATGGGGTCTATAGGGGATGACAGCACTACGGGGTCTCTATGGGGTCTATAGGGGGTGACAGCACTACGGGGTCCCTATGGGGTCTATAGGGGGTGACAGCACTACGGGGTCTCTATGGGGTCTATAGGGGGTGACAGCACTACGGGGTCCCTATGGGGCCTATAGGGGGTGACAGCACTACGGGGTCCCTATGGGGTCTATAGGGGGTGAAAGCACTACGGGGTCTCTATGGGGTCTATAGGGGGTGACAGCACTATGGGGTCCCTATGGGGTCTATAGGGGATGACAGCACTACGGGGTCTCTATGGGGTCTATAGGGGGTGACAGCACTACGGGGTCCCTATGGGGTCTATAGGGGATGACAGCACTACGGGGTCCCTATGGGGTCTATAGGGGATGACAGCACTACGGGGTCCCTATGGGGTCTATAGGTGCCCATGTCCCCCGCACGGTTCCCCGCGAGGGGCGCTCCCGCTCTGGCCCCGTCTCTATGGTCGCGGGGGCGGCGGGCGGGGACCGCGCCGTCCCGTCTCTATGATCCCCCCCTCCCCTCCCGCCCGTGTCCCGGCCCCGGAAGTGGCGCGCGGCGCCGCCGGAAGCGGGCGGGGGAGGCGCTTCCGGGTGCGGGGCCCGGCGGCGGGAGCGGTGCGCGGAGGTGAGTGAGGCCCCGCGTGTCCCCCCCCCCTCCCCCCCGGGCCCACGCGTGGAGGGGTCGGTGTGTGTGTGGGGTGTGTGTGTGTGTGTGTGGGGGGGGGGGGGGGGGGGGGGGGGGGGGGGCGCGGGGGGGATGTCCCCAAACCCCGGCGACGTCCCGCGGCGACACCCCGGCGCCCGCCGACGGCCCCGGGGCCGCCCTGGCGGCCTCCCCCCCCCCCCCCCCCCCCCCCACACGGCGCTGCTCTGCCCCCAGGTGTGCCCGTCCCCCCGCGGCCATGGCCGAGGCGGTTCACTACATCCACCTGCAGAACTTCAGCCGCTCCTTGCTGGAGACCCTCAACGGGCAGCGCCTGGGCGGCCACTTCTGCGACGTGACGGTTCGCATCCGCGAGGCCACCCTGCGGGCCCACCGCTGCGTCCTGGCCGCCGGCAGCCCCTTCTTCCACGACAAGCTGCTCCTGGGCCACTCGGCCATCGAGGTGCCGCCGGTCGTCCCCAGCGGAGCCGTGCGGCAGCTGGTGGAGTTCATGTACAGCGGCTGCTTGGTGGTGGCGCAGTCGGAGGCGCTGCAGATCCTCACCGCCGCCTCCGTCCTCCAGATCAAGACGGTCATCGACGAGTGCACCCAGATCATCTCCCAGAGCCGCGGGCCCAAGGCGCTGCCCCCCACCCCGGCGCCCGCCGACCCCCGCCACAAACCGCCGGAGCCCGGCGCCCGTTTCGGCGCGGCCGAGCCGGCGCCGAGCTGTCACAGCCGTAAACAACGGCAGCCGTTGCGGCTCCAGCTGCCGGTCAAGGAGGAGGAGGAGGAGGAGGAGGAGGAGGAGGAGGAGGAGGAAGGAGGGGGCGCCAGCGGCGAGGAAGGCTTCGCCCCCCCCCCCTTCGCCGCCGAGGAGCCCCCGTTTTTTGGCACCCCCGAGGTTTTCGCCGACGCGTTCCTGCCGCCCTGGCCCGGCGAGGACGGGGCCAAATTCGGGCCCGACTGTAGCCTGGAGGTGCCGGGCCGGGTGCCGGCGTTCGGGGCCAAAGCGGTGACGGGGGGCAACGGTTTCGGCTTCGCGCCGGCGCCGCCGCTCTACGAGGGGGGTGCGGAGGTTGGGTTGAGCGGGGGGGGCATCCCCCCGGCCCCCGAAACACCCCAGCCCGGCCCCTCGCGTTGCCCCGAGCCCTCGTACCAGTGCGGCCACTGCCAGAAGACCTTCAGTTCCCGCAAGAACTACACCAAACACATGTTCATCCACTCCGGTGAGGGGACGCGGTGGCGGGGGGACGCGGGGGCGGGGGGACCTTGGGGGGCGAGGACAGGGGTGTAACGGGGACCCACCCTGGGCGCGTGTTGACCTGCGCCGCTCCGTGTCAATCCGCGCTGCTCCGTGTTGACGTGTTGCTCCATGTGATCGGTGTTGACCGGTGTCACGCCGGGGTGACTCCCGTTGACCTGTGTCGCTCCGTGGTGACCCGTGGCACTCTGTGCCGAGCCATGTTGATCTGGTGTTGATCCATGTGGGTCTGCATTGCCTCACGTGACCCGTGTTTCTGTTGATCTCTGTTGACCTGTGCTGAGCCATGTTGGCTTGTGCTGATCCATGTTGACCCCTGTTGATCTGTGTCAATCCGTGCCATTCCATGTTGTTCCATTCCGACCCATGTAGACCCGTGTTGATCCATGATGTCCCATGTCATTCTGTCTTGACCCATGTTGATCCAGTGTTGACCCATGCTGACCCAGCGTTGACCCGTGTTGATCAGTGTTGACCCATGCCAATCTGTGTTGACCTGGTCCATGTTGCTTTGTTAATCCAGTGATCCATGTTGCTCCACGTTGCTCCACGTGGACCCGTGTTCATCTGTTGACCCATGTTGACTCACGTTGACCTGTGCTGGTCTGTATTGATCCACATTGACCTGTGGAACCATGTTGACCCACGTTGATCCATGTTGACCCATGTTGATCCGTGTTGACCCATATTGATCTCTGTTCACCCATATTGATCCATGTTGACCTGTATTGATCCATGTTGACCTGTATTGATCCGTGTTGACCCACGTTGATCCGTGTTGACCCACGTTGATCCATGTTGACCCATATTGATCCGTGTTGACCCGTACTGATCTCTGTTCACACATATTGATCCATGTTGACCCCTACTGATCCATGTTGACCTGTATCCATCCGTGTTGACCCACGTTGATCCATGTTGACCCACGTTGATCCATGTTGACCCATATTGATCCGTGTTGACCTATATGGATCCGTGTTGACCCGTATTGATCTCTGTTCACCCATATTGATCCACGCTGACCTGTATCGATCCGTGTTGACCCACGTTGATCCGTGCTGACCCACGTTTGTCTCTCTGTAGGCGAGAAGCCCCACCAGTGCTCCATCTGCTGGCGCTCCTTCTCACTCCGTGACTACCTGCTGAAGCACATGGTGACCCACACGGGCGTCCGCGCCTTCCAGTGCGGCGTCTGCTGCAAACGCTTCACCCAGAAGAGCTCCCTCAACGTCCACATGCGCACCCACCGCCCCGAGCGCTTCCAGTGCCGCCTCTGCACCAAGGGCTTCTCCCACCGCACCCTCCTCGAGCGCCATGCCGCTGCCACCCACCCCGTGCCACCGCCGGGGCCACCGCCGGGGCCACCACCACCAGAAGCCGGGCTGGCAACGTGGCCAGGAACTGAGGCTGCGGGTGCCGGCCCCGCTCACACGGCGTGAGGGTGCCCCAGGGGGGGGTCTCTGCCACTCTCAAACTGCTTGGGGGGTGGGTTTTAGGGGTCCCCTGTGTCTATGGACGAGCCCTCAGGGCTGTTTGAGCACCTTGGGGTGAAACCTGGAGGACTTTGACCCCACCCCAGCCATGGATTTGATGCCCTGGATGGACAGACGGGGGGAGATGGGCTCCGTCCCACTTGTCCCCTCCCGGCAACGTGGTTTCCATCCCCCCCCCCCCCCAAACCATGGCGGTGGGGGTGGTTAAACAGACTCGGCAGCACCGGTGGGTGGTGAAAATCAACACGTGGGTTTTAAGGACAGTTTTAGTGCCATTATTGCAATCTTTTTCCCTAAAAATTCCCTCCCTCCCTACTGCTTGCCCACGTGACATCTAAGTTACTGAATGATGGGTGCCAGCCATGGGCACGTGGCCACCACAGAAGGGCCGTGGTAGCCGTTGGCCACATTGTGTGACCTCATCAAATCTGTGATGACATGTGCCAACGGAACCCAACCGTGTCCTCGTGGCCACCACGGAAGGGCTGTGGTAGCCGCTGGCCACGTCACGGGACCTCCCCAAATCTTTGTGATGACAACGGCTGCCAGTGGGACCAAACTACGTAACTACATCCCCGTGGCCACCACAGACGAGCTGTAGTAGCCATTGGGCCATGCCATGGGTCCTCCGCAAGTCCTTGTGACCACTGTCAGCCCCAGTGCCACCTCTTTTTGCCCACATGGTTTCCCCATGAGCCAATGGGAGGCATCAGCAGGGCAAAACCACATCCCTGTTGGCCACGTCACGGGCCCTTCCCAAGTCTTTGCGTTGACAAAGGGCACCACTGGGGCTAAACTACATCTACGGGGCCAAGCCACAGCTCTGTGGCCACCACAGAAGAGCTGTAGTAGCCATTGGCCAAGCTATGGACCCTTCCCAAGTCTTTGCCTTGGTGATGGGCACCAGAAGGGCCAAGCCACATCCCCATGGCTACCACAGAAGGGCTGTAGTAGCCACTGGCCACATCATGAGTCCTCCCCAAGCCTTTGGGTCCACATTTGTCCCCAGTCCCGTGGCTTTTTGCCTACATGGGTTCCCCACAAGCCAACAATGGGCATTGATGGAGTCAAGCCACGTCCCCGTGGCCACCACAGAAGGGTCGTAGTCGTCGGTCACGTCAGGGATCCTCCCCAAGTTGTCTACACGGACAGTGAGCACCAGTGGGCCACACTGGTGGCTACCACGGAAGGGCTGTAGCAGCCGCTGGCCGTGTCGTGGCTAATCGAAGGCTTTGTGTTGACGATGGGTGCTGATAGGGCCAACCCATGGGCACGCCGCCATCGCCGAAGAGCTGTAATAACCACTAGCCACATCGTGACTCTTCCTGAAGTCCTTGTATTGAGGATAGGCGCCAGCGGGGCCAAACCACGTCCCCGCGGCCCCCACGGAAGGGTTGTAGCAGCCACTGACCATATCACGGACCCTCCGTGAACCCTTCTGTTGACCACAGGCACCGGCAGGTCAAACCACGTCCCCATGGCCACCACAGAAGCACCATCACCTGCTCCGCCACCTCCTGCCCTCTCCTCAGGGAGCCCCTCAGAGCCCCCGGCGCATCGCCAGGGCCGGCCCAGGCTCAGCGGCGTGGAGGCGGCGGTGGCGAGCGAGGTGGGAGCCGCGGCTGAAGGTCTTGGGGCAGTCGGGGCAGCGGTAGGGCTTCTCGCCGGTGTGGGTGCGCTGGTGCTCGAGCAGACGGGCGCTCTCGCCGAAGCACTTGCCGCACTGGCCGCACTGGAAGGGCTTCTGGCCGCTGTGGAGGCGGCGGTGCTGGCTGAGGTTGGAGCTCCAGCCGAAGCGTTTGCCGCAGGCCCCGCACTCGTAGGGTTTCTCGCCGGTGTGGGTGCGCTGGTGCTGCAGGAGGTTGGAGTTCTGGGTGAAGCTCTTGGCGCAGGCGCCGCACTTGTAGGGCTTCTCGCCGGTGTGGGTGCCCAGGTGCCGCATCAGGTGTGAGCTTTGCCCAAAGGCCTTGCCGCACTCGGTGCACTTGTAGGGTTTCTGGGTAGCCGGGGGGGACGCGGGGGGCGGCCCCCAGGGCCAGCCCAGGCCGGGTGACGGGGACAGCGGTGGTGATGTCACCAGGCTCTCGGGGATGCCCGTCTCTGGGGACCTCATGGTGCCTGCGGGGACATGGAGACGGGCCTCACCGTGAGGATCCCTGACTGCCCTCCCCGAGCTTCTTCACCACCCCCAGTGCCCCAAATTGATCCCTGGAATTCCGAAATCCCCCCCCCCCCAAGTTCCCCAATCACCCCTCAATCTCCCAAACCGCTTCCCAAGCCGCACGGTGCCCACTCAGCCCCAAATCTCAGCTGGAGATGGCCAGCAGGAACGTGGAGGTCAGGGCTGGGGGGGAGCAAAGGCCCCTCAGAGGTCCCGCGTGTGACCCCCCGCCCCGCCCCGGGTGGGACGGAGCTGGGGAGGAGACCCAGGGACGCGGTGGGTCTCCCTCCTTGGAGCCCCTCAGACTTCCCTAGGAGGAGCCATGAGGAACCGGGAGGAGATGGTCCTGTGCTTCGGACCCCTCTGCCCGTGCTTTGTGGTGCCCCTCCCCTGTACCCCTCCCTGACCGGGCTCACCTCCGTGGGTGCGGGGCACCGTCCCCCCATCCCAGTCGCCCGGTGGCTCCTCTGGCTGCTCCATGGCCTGTGGGGAGACACAGGGTGGGGGGGGTGTCCCCAAAACAGGACCCAGGCATCTGGGGTGGGAATGGGGGGGGTGGGGGGGGACACCCTTTGCCGGGGCTGGAGGGACTGGGGGGAGCCCTGGAAGGGGGCACCCGGGTGGGGTCCTGGGGGGGGGGGCGGGGAAGCAGAGGTGGAACAAGGGGGGGATCTTGTGGGGGTACCGAGGGGGGGGGGTGTCACTGATTATGGGGGTGCACCGAGAGTGAAGGGGGGACGTGGGGGACCTCGGAACCGAGAGGGGGGAACCCAAAAGGGGTAAGCATGGCGGGGGGGGGACACACACAGAACCCCTCGGGGGCTCCTTGGGGGGGGGGTCTCGGGACCGGGGGGAAGCCCCTGATGTGGGAAGGGCACTGGGGGGTGGGGGGGCTCCGGGCCGGTTCTGGGGTGCCCCCCGGTGTGTATCCCCCCCCCCCCACCTCACCTAACCGCCGCGGAGCCTCCGCCGCCCCCCGCGCCCCCGGAAGCGCTCGGGCACCGCTCGGGGCCGCTCTGCGCCGCTCGGAGGACTGCGACTCGATGATGTTAACCCCTTCTGCACCGCCCTGCCCCGACACCCCCGGCATTATATTTTGGGGGGGTGCGGCCAGTTTTTCCCCCGTTTCTGCAGTTTTTTGCCCCGTTTTGGAGCATCACCTCTGTGGCCCCCAAGGGCTGCGGGGGGCCCCGAGGGGCAGAGTTGAGGGGTCGGCAGGGATCTCCAGAGGCTGCAAGGGGCTGTCCAGAGTTAAATTTGGGGAGATGGGGGGAGTCCAGAGCTGGAGTGGGGTGTCTGGAGCTGGATTCGGGGGGTCCCTGAGGTGACTCATGTCCCCGGTGCTGGGTGACGAGGCTGAAGCGCTGGCGGTGGCTCCCTGATGTCCCCGTCGCGATGGGCAGAGTTAAGGGGATTCTCCAGTCTCTGCCTTTTGGTGGCCATGAGGCGTGCTCAGGGGTGGCTTCAGTGACACCCAGCACCCATTTTGGGTGTCCCCAAGGGCTATTTGTGTCCCCACGTGCGTGTGACGAGGCTGGAGCGCTGGCGGTGGCTCCGTGAGGTCCCCATCACGATGGGCAGAGTTAAGGGGATCCCCGACGTCCGTATTTCAGAGTCCTTTGGGGTTCCTGGTGGCAGATTTGGTGACACCCGGTGCCTGATTCAGCGTCCCCAAGGGCCACTCGTGTCCCCGTTGGTGGGTGACGAGGCCGGAGGGCTGGCGGTGGCTCCCTGAAGTCCCCAAGGCAATGGGCAGAGTTAAGGGGATTCCTGATGTCCATATTTCAGAGCCCTTTGCAGCTCCCTGCGGCGGATTCGGTGACACGTGGCGCCTGTTGCAGCGTCCCCAAGGGCCACTCGTGTCCCCGTTGGTGGGTGACGAGGCCGGAGGGCTGGCAGAAGCGTTTGCCGCGGTGGGCGCAGGCGAAGGGTCGCCCGCCAGCGCCGCGCCAGCCGGGAGCAGGTGCCAAAGGTCTGGCCACAGTCACCGCAGCGGTGGCCCCCCCACGCCGGCGGGGACGTGGGGACACTGCGTTTTGGCGGCGGGTGCTGGCACCGGGTGTGGTCGCGGAGGGTCGGTGAGGCCAAGGGCTGGGGAGAGAGGGGAGAGTGAGGGGGGGGTGGCGTTTGGGGGGACACTGGGGACACGTGGAGGGACATGGGGACGTGTGGAGGGAAGCGGGATGACAGGGACACACGTGGTGTGACATGGGGGACACGTGGAGATGGGGACATGTGGAGTGACATGAGGATGTGGGGACGCACATGGAGTGATATGGGGGACACGTGGGGATGGGGACATGTGGAGTGACATGGGGATGTGAGGGCACATGTGGAGTGATATGGGGGACACGTGGGGATGGGGACATGTGGAGTGACATGAGGATGTGGGGACACACATGGAGTGATATGGGGGACACGTGGGGATGGGGACATGTGGAGTGACATGGGGATGTGAGGGGACATGTGGAGTGACACGGGGGACACATGGAGATGGGGACATTTGGAGTGACGCAGGGTCACACATGCAGTGTGACAGGGGGGACACGTGGAGAGAGATGGGGACGTTCAGAGTGATGTGGAGAGACGTGCAGAGTGACAGGAGATGTGGAGTGACACGGGGGACATCTGGAGTGATGGGGGACACATGGAGATGGGGACATCTGGAGTGACACAGGGACACACATGTGGAGTGACATGGGGGACATGCAGCTATGGGGACATCTGGAGTGACAGGGGGATGTGGGGGGACATTCAGAGTGACATGGGGTATGATGTGGGGGACGCGGCTGGACAGGGCGACATGGGTGACACATGGAGATGGGGACATTTGAAGTGAAACAGAGTGACTTGAGGGACACGTGGTGTGACGTGGGGGACACATGAAGGGACACGGGGACATTGGGAGTGACGTGGGGAAGTGGGGGGACACATGGTGTGACATGGGAGACACGTGGAGAGAGATGGGGACGTTCAGAGTGATGTGGGGGGACATGCAGAGTGACACGGGAGATGTGGAGTGACACGGGGGACATTTGGAGTGACAGGAGGATGTGGGGACACACATGGAGTGACATGGGGGACACGTGGGGAGGGGGGGACAGAGTAACATGGGAGGACATGTGGTGTGACAAGGGGGACACGCGGAGGAAGATGGAGGAGATACACGGGAGACATGGGGACATGGAGGACACAGGGCAATGTGAGGGGACACATGGTGTGACGTGGGGACCTGGGGACATGGAGGGACACACAGAGTCCCCGGGGATGTGGGGGGGGACACTTGGTGTGACATGGAGGGGACACTAAAGGACATGGGGGAGATCTGGGGAGAGACAAGGTGGAGACAGGAGGACATTTGGGGACACGGAGGGACTTTGATAGACCTGAGGACGTGTGGGGACGGACATGGTGGGGACACAAAGGGACCCCAGGGGACACTGAGGGCCGGGGGGGGGGGGGGCTGGAGGCACTTGGGGGGACATGAGAGCACGTGGGGGGGACGCTGAGGGACACAAGGGGACATGAGGGACACCTGGGGACCTGCAGGAGACATGGAGGGGAGCCAGGGGACATTGAGCGGGATGGCGGGGGACTTGGGAGGACCTGAGGGGACATGGGGGACACGGGGGGACCCGAGGGGACAATGGGGGGACACGGGGGGGACAATGGGGCTCACCAGGGGGGACAACATCCCAGGGCCATCAGCCAGGAACATGGCACCTGTGGGGACACCACTGTCAGCCAGTGCTCCCAGGAAACTTCGGTGCTCTTCCAGGACCCCCCCCCCCGCAGTGTTCCCAGTAACCCCCAGCGCCTTCCGAGTGCTCCCAGTAACTCTGCCCCGGGGCTCCCAGTGCTGCCAGTCGTGCTCCCGCAGCGCTCCCAGTAACACCCAGCGATCCCGGTGCCTCCCTCCTCTCACCCCCAGCACTCCCAGTAACCCCCTGTTGCCCCCGTGCCCACCCCACCAGCCTTCCCAGCACCCCCAGGCCCCGCCCAGCGCTCCCAGTCCTCACCCCCCAGCACTCCCGGTAACCCCTGGTGCCCCCCGTGTACCCCCAGCACCCCCAGGCCCCGCTGAGCACCCCCAGTACCTCGGGCGGGCCCTGCCCCGAGTCGGGCTGAGCTGGCGGCAGCGGCAGAAAAGGGGAAAGGGGGGGGGGGGGGGGGGAGGCGCCCCGCCCGGTGGGAGGCACCGGGGGGGTGTGGGGGAATGGGGGGGGAACCGGGGGGCCCGAACGGGCGGGATCCCGCCCCCCCCCCCCGTGGGGTCGGTGCCAGGGGCCCTGTCGTGGGTGTCTCCACCCCCCCCCCCGTGGGTGCCAGCACCCCAGGGGCCCCCAGGAGGGACGTCCCTCGCCCTGGGATGTGCCGCCTCTCTGGGGACACTCGGGGGGGGGGGGGGGGTGTCACCATGCCGACGACACCCACGTGGGCATCCCCACCCCCGGGGCGGGAGGGGACGTGGTGGGTCAGCACCCATGGGTGTCCTCCGTCCTTCCCCAGTAGGTCCCAATTGGGTGCCACATCCCCATTGGTGCCGGGTGGGGACACCCACGGGTGACACAGGCCCTGGGGACACCCGAGAGGGCCCACTGAGACACACCCCACACCCCCCCCAGTGGACTGGGAATGTGGGATGGGCAGAGCGCCCCCAAACTGGGAAGGGTGGAGGGGGTGTGAGCAGGGACCACCCCCCCCACCCCCCCCCAAAACTGGGAGTGAGGGAGGGGGAAACCCTTCCCAAACTGGGAATGGAGAAGAGGAAAACCCCCTCAAACAGGGAACGGAGGGGACGTCTGTGCACCCCCTCGAGCTGTGAATAGGGGAGGGAGATGAACCTGCAAACTGGGATTGGGGGAATGTGAATTCCCCCCCCCCCCCCCCCCCCCCAAACTGGGAACGGGGGAAGGGAGAAGCACCCAGACTGGTGTTAGGGTGCTACACCCCCTTGGTTTTCAGGGGTCCTACCCCAGTCCCACCGGTGGGCCACTAAGCTGGCCAAAATCTGGGTGCTTTTGAGGGGGGGGTGGGAGACATTTACTCTCACGGAGGTAGTGAGGGGAGCCCCAATTTGGCCCAGTTTGTCCCCAGTCTGCCACTCTGGGCCCCTCCAACACCTATACAACGCCCCCATCAACTTTCACCCAGCGCTGGCTTTAAATCATCCTCTCTGGTGGCAAGGTTAAGTATTTTTAAGGTGTTTTTACTCACTTGCACGTGGCTCTGGGGACCTCGAAGCCCCTTTGGAGACTCTCCGGCTTCTCCTCTGGGGGTGAAATCGAGCGTTAAATTGACTGAGAAGCAAAAACCCCGGGGCAGAATGAGATGGGCGGGTGGAGGGAAGCAGGGGGTAGCACAGGGGGTGTCGGACGGGGGGCTGAGGGAGCTGCACCGGGGCTGCCCGGGCTGGTTGAGGGGTAGCTCTGAGGGAGGGTGGAGATTTTTCGGGGGGACATTGGGGACCTGGGCCCGGGCCTGGCTCACAGCACTGCCTAGGGCTGGGTTCTACCCTGAGGCCGTCGCTCACAGCCGGTGCTAAGCCAGAGCCTCAACCCAGACCCCTGAGCAGGTCCTTACCCGGATTCACGCCGAGCCCCTACCCCGCTCCCCCTCCCACGGCGGCCGAACCGGAGTGACTCCGGACCGGCCCTAAGGGGATGCTGTGGGACTTGGAAAGGTGATTGGTTCGCTGCGCTGTCGATCAGAGCCTCTTCCCCGCCTCCCCGGAGATTTTGGATGCCGATTGGCTGGCCGCAACGTCCACCTTAAGAATCACCGCCTTCCCTGGAACCATTCGACCGCTGGTTGGTCCAGCACCTGCCCGCCCTTTTGGCTTCAAGACATTCTCCCGGGCTGGGCGGGCGAAGCGCCTTGAAGAAGCGGATTGGAATCGTGTGCTGTCAGTCTGCGCTCTTCAGGTGCCTATTGGCTTAGTGAGGCACGGCCTCCACCCACCGCATGAGCTCATTGGCCTGTTCCCCTTTAACATCGGCCCCGCGCCGCTCACGTGTTGGAGGTGGCGTCCTGCCTTCCTCCCTCCGCCTGGCGCCTCCCATTGCCTCCCCGCCCTGTCAATCCCAACCAGCCGCGGCGCGGTGGGCGGTGATTGGCTGCTGCCGGAGGAGGGGGCGGGAGCCCCTGCGCGCGCAGCCGGCGGGGGGCGGGCGAGCCCCCCGCTGAGGGGAGGTCGCCATGTCGGGGCCAGCGGAGGAGGCGGGCGGCCCCGCTGGGAAACGGCCGGAGTCGCTGGATTTGCTGGAGCGTTGCGGCGTCTGCCGGGAGCGGCTGAAAGCTGAGCGGGAGCCGCGGCTGCTGCCTTGCCTCCACTCGGCCTGCCGGGCGTGCCTGCGGCCCGCGCCGGGCCGCGCCCCCGATGGGCCAGGTGAGGTGAGGGGGGGCGGTGGGGGAACGTCCGTTAACCGGGACCGTGTGGGGGTGTTGCCGGGCCGTGCCAACGGGACCGGGAGCGTGTTTGGCCGGGCAGGCTGGCCCGCAGATCCCTGGGAGGGTGTGAGGAGGGATCGGGGTGGGACCGGGCGCCTGTGAGGGCGATGGCGGGGATCGGAGCCGTGCTGGGGGGGGGGGGGGGGGGCGAGCGGACCCCTGGGTGAAGCAGCTGGGGTGCTCCAAGCCCCTTTGGCTTCTCTCGGGGCTCCCCGAGATTACGGGGCTTTGGCTGGATGCGGAGTGGCCCGTGGGGTCTCCCCAAGCCTCCTGTGCTCCGTGGCCTCCTTCCACCAGCCCAGTTGGTCATGCTGAGCAGCCCCCAACCGCCCCAGGGCTGCTTCCACCCCCACCCTGGACGCCCGGGTTCTTCCCACCATGGGGCTGTCCCGTCCTTGGGGTGGGGATGCTTTGACCCCCTTGTTGGCGGTTGCCCACCCGCCGCGCCTCCCCGTCGCCATCCCTGCGCCCCTCCACCTTGGCGGGGAGGTTTCTGGGGAGATCAAAAGCGCCACATCCTCTCGGTGCTGCCTGCGGGAGGTGGCATCCCAACTGCCGCTGTGCTGCCTCGCGAGGAGGAGGAGGAGGGAGGGTGGGTCTGTGAAGGTGGGTAACGGAGCCGAGCAAGAGACAGTGGCTGTAAAGATTCACGGTGGATGTTGCGAGAAAATTCCTTACCGGGCGGTTTGGCTGGAAGAAAACGACGCTGGACCTGCTTCGGGAGCGGGGACCCCCTGAGACGCTGTCCCCTCTGCGGTGACACTGGGGACAGCCCCGAGGCCGTGGTGGAAGTTCTAGTTTTGAAGCTCGGCACGTCCCCGTCAGGACCCGGGATCTTCTGCTTTCGTCCTTCTCTGTTGGAGTGCGTTAGGGGCCCACACTGCTACCGAGCCACTGCGTTTTCAGCAGGCACAATGCACCGTGCGGGTCTGTGAGGGGACTCTCTAGTGACAAATGGTGGTGACCGCGGTTTGGAGCGACCTGGGGCTCCCCCTGACACCTCCCTCGCCGTTCCCCCTCCCCGCAGTGGTCGACTGCCCCATCTGCAAACACCAGTGTCACCTGAAGGACGTCGTGGAGAATTACTTTCTGAGGGACAGCGGGGCTGAGACAGCTGCCACCAGCCAGGGTTCGAGTCAGGTAGTGCGGCGCTAGTGCTTAATTGGAGATGAACTCGGGTGAAGCGAGCTCCCTGCGGCTGCTCTGTCCCCGTGCCCCCGTGCAGTGTCTCTCTGTCGTCCCCCAGTGCTGCACCAGTTGCGAGGACGACGCCCCGGCCACCAGCTACTGCGTGGAGTGCTCGGAGCCGCTCTGCGAGACCTGCGTGGAGGCCCACCAGCGGGTCAAGTACACCAAGGACCACACGGTTCGGGCCACAGGTCTGTCCTTGCGGGACCCCCACCCCCCCCTCCCCGGTCCTTCTGCTGCCCTCCCCTTCCCCAGGTGGGGACCCCGTGGCTGACACAACCCCCGGGCAGGTCTGGAGCTGCCGCGGCGGTGGCCGTGCCCGGTCCCACAGAGAGGCCGACTCCCCCGGCGGGTTCCGCTGGGTGCCGGTGACATCATCGCGGTGACATCGCGGTGACGTCACGCCCCGTTTCCCCGCAGGCAGCGGCAGGGTGAAGGAGGGGGAGCGCGCCGTGTACTGCTCGGTGCACAAGGACGAGCCGCTGGTGCTCTTCTGCGACACGTGCGACACGCTTACCTGCCGCGACTGCCAGCTCAACATGCACAAGGACCACCAGTGAGTGTGTTTCAGCAGTAATTAATTTTAAGAAAAATTGATTTTTCAGGGGTAATTGTTGCTTGAATAGGTTATCCTGCTTGTTAGCCCTTAATTGATTCGGGGCGAGTCAAATAACTGAACAGATTTATTTATCGCCTGAAAAGGTTGCCTGTGCACCTTGTCAGGGAGGCCCTGTGGCACCTTGAGTGTGTTGTTAATTAATATCTAAGAAGGTAGATAACTAATTAAACTGATTAACTGGTTATTGAAAAAGATCTGGAGTTAGCCTGCAGGCTAATTCTCATCAATTAGTGATTGATTTGAAAAATGAAGCTTATTAGTTGGCCAGCTACTGAAGAGGTTGACCAAATAGCATGTTAATTTTGGTTAATTTTTGTTTTTAACCAAATAAGTGCGTTACCTGACTTTGTTAATTAGCAGACTGGTTGGTTTGAGGGGCTTAAATTGCTTTGAGTTTTAAGGAAATGGAGATATCAAATTTGTTAGTCATGAAAAATCAATTTAATTACGTTCTCATTTATTTCAATTAGTTTGTTTTTTTTTTTTTTAAATTGATATTTAATTTTTTGTTTGTTTGTTTTTGTTTTTTTTTTTTTTTTTAAATAGGCTGGTTTTGCTCTCAGGCTGGTTAAGTTTCCTGGTTGAATAGATAACTAGTTTGATTCATTATCTGAGCAGGTATCTAGTTAGATTACTTGCCTGATTGATGAGTTATACTAAAAGCATTTTTGAAGCATAAGATCTAATATGTTAAAGTAAATAACAAAGTAAGTTAAAATTCTGTGCCTGATGAGTTTGCTGGCTTGAGCAGCTCCGTAACCCAAATTAATTTGATTGTGAATGGCTAACAAGTTAACGAGAAAGCTAGGTAAGTATTGAGTGGGTTAACTCTTCCAAATTGGTTCCCAGCTCCAGGAGCTGGGGGGGGGCTATTTGGGGCCCCAGCCGTGGGTCGCTGGTGTGGGGGGGCTGCACCCCTCGGGGTGTTTTGGGGCTCACGCCCCTCCAGCCCTGTTGCGACCCCTTTCCCCCCCCTCCCTGCAGGTACCAGTTCCTGGAGGACGCGGTGAGGACCCAGCGCAAGATGCTGGCCACGCTGGTGAAGCGCCTGGGCGACAAGCACGCCAGCCTGCAGCGCTCCACCAAGGAAGTGCGCAGCTTGTACGTGCCCCATCTGTCCCTCCCCGGGGGGGGGGGGGTGGGGTGGGGTTCGTTCACCCCAACTGGGGGCGTTTGCCCCCCCTCACCCTTTCCTTTCCCTGCCGGCAGCATCCGCCAGGTGACGGACGTGCAGAAGCGGGTGCAGGTGGACGTGAAGATGGCCATCCTCCAGATCATGAAGGAGCTCAACAAGCGCGGCAGGGTGCTGGTGAGCGACGCCCAGGTGAGCCGGGTGGTGACGCGGTGGCCCTGGGTCCCCCGTCGCTGTCCCTCCGCCCTGAGGTGGCGCGTTGTCCCCCCGCTCCTCGCAGAGGGTGACAGAGGGGCAGCAGGAGAAGCTGGAGCGGCAGCACTGGGCCATGACCAAGCTGCAGCGGCACCAGGAGCACATCCTTCGCTTTGCCTCCTGGGCCCTGGAGAGTGACAACAGCACCGCTCTGCTGCTCTCCAAGAAGCTGGTGAGCTGCAAAGGGGCTGAAACCACCTCACAGACCCCCCTAAACCCATCACCTTGGGCAGGGAGCCCCCCAGGATGGGTAGTTGGCGACCGTCGGTTCCCCCGTCACTGTGACTCTGCTTTCTTGGGCTCGTGGGGAAATGGGTGCCAGAGAGTAAAGCCAAGCCCTGGGCTGTGTTGCGTGTCAGCCTGGGGTCTGTTTTCCCTGTTTTGGGGGGGATGTGGGGTGAAGTGGGATCAGAGGATGGTCTCCGGAGGGGTGGTTTGTCCCCAGGTCCCCCTCAGCCTCCCCAGGGTCCCCCATATCCCCCACTGCCTCCCCGTCTGTCCTCAGGGTGCTGCGGTGGGGTCCTTAGGACATGTTGGGTCCTCTGGGGGGTCCCTGTGCTGTAACGGGAGCCCCCCAGCTGTGGGGTGATCTACAGCATGTCCCCTCGAGAGTCCCTGTGACGCGATGGGTGCTGCATCAGGTCCCCTTGGGGTCTTGCAGTGGGTCCCACTGTAGTCCCCACGGTGTTACGGGTGCTGCAGTGGGTCCCCTTGGGGTCCCTGTAGCGTGGTGGCTGCTCCTGGGTGCTGCCATGTGTCCCCTCAAGGTCACCACGGTGTGATGGGTGCCCTCAGGGTGCTGCCACATGTCTCCTCGGGGTCCCTGGGGTGTCATGAGTGTTCCTGTGGTGCTGAAATTTGTCCTCTCGATGTGACAGCTGCCCCTGGGGGTGCTGCTACGTGTCCCTTCGGGGTCCCTGTGATGTGACGGGTGTCCCCCGGGTGCTGCCACGTGTGTCCTCAGAGCCCCTGCAATATGATGGGTGTTTCTGGAAGGCTGCCACTTGTCCCCTTGGGGTCCCTGTGTTGTGGCAGTTGTCCCTGGGGCACTGCCACTTGTCTCCTGGGGGTCCCTGTGATGTGACAAGCATCCCCGGGGTGCTGCCACGCATCCTCTCAGGGTGCCCGTTTGATGGGTGTCTCGGGGACGCTGCCACGTGTCCCCTTGGGTTCCCCTTGCTGTGACAGCCACCCCTGGGATGCTGTCACCTGCATCCCCCATGAGGTCTCTGTGTTATGACAAGCCCCCTCCCCTCCCTGTGCCCCCCTGCCAGATCTACTTCCAGCTCCACCGCGCCCTCAAGATGATCGTGGACCCCGTGGAACCGCAGAGTGACATGAAGTTCCAGTGGGACCTCAACGCCTGGACCAAGAGCGCCGAGAGCTTTGGTGAACCCTGGGGGAGAGGACAACCCCTGAGGACACCCTGGGGACACCGGGGCCCCCCTTGACACTCGTCACCCCCCCTTGCAGGCACCATCATCTCGGAGCGGAGCCTCCCGCCGCCGTCCCTCAGCCCCCAGCTGCCGGCTCCCAGCCCCCGTGGCGCCAGCCCCACCATGGGCACCTCGCAGGTACCTCTGGGGGGACAAGGAGGGGGTGTTTTTGGGGGGGGTTCTGCACCCATGGGTGCCCCTTAAGTAATGAACCTCCCCCCGCTTCCCCAATCTCTCCAGGACCCCCTGCAAGCCACGGTGGTGAGCAAAGGGCAGTATGCTCCCGATCCGCTCCTGCAGTCCCCCACGGGACCCCAAATTGGGGCTGAGGAGGGGCAGGGGACCCCCAGCGAGGTGGGGCTGGGGATGCCTGCCCTGCCTCAGTTTCCCCCGGGGGCCGAGGGGCTGGGCTGCCCCAACCTGTCCCCCCCCCACCTTTACCCGCAGATGGCCGAGAGCCCCGGGGATGCGGCTGCGGGCACTGAGCTCGGTGAGCGGGGGGGATGACATGGGTTGGGGGTGCTGGGGAGGGGGAGAGGAGGAGTGGGGGAGGAAGGCTCCTGATGTTGGGTTTTCTTAGCAGCCAATGGCCCCCCCGAACCTGTTGTCACAGGAGTGAAGAGGTGAGTGTGGGGGAACCCCTTGTCCCTGGGGATCTGCTGGCCCTCGTCACTCTGTGCCTTGGGGGGTGGCTTCGGGCCCCTCCACGTGGTTGTCCCATGTCACCCCATACCTTGGACCCGTCCCACTCCCCCCAGGGGGTGGCTTAGCACTGTCCCTTGTCACCTCACACCAGGGACCTTGCCCCTTGTTCCGCCATGCCTAGGGGTGGCAGGGACACACTCTCACCCCGTACTTGGGGTTCCCCCCACCCTTGTCACCTCATACCCAGAGGTGGTCGCATTCCCCCCATGTCCCCTGTCACCATATCCAGGCACAGACGATGGGACAGGGTCACCGTGTCCCCGTCACCATCCCTAGATATTGGGCTTCCATCCCAGGAGGTCTCCCAGCCGGGAGGAACCCAATTTTGGGGCTTGGGGGGTTGCCTGAGGCCCCCCAAAGTGCCCTGATGACCTTGTTATGCTGGAGAAACGATGTTAATCCTCCTGGGGAGAAGTTGGTTAAGAAGCTGCTCGTTAAGTGATAATGAGGAGGACTTGGGGGGGTCAGGGCGGGGAGTTAAGGCACCTCCATTCCAACAGCGAGTTGAGGGGGCAGAAGATGGAGCCCCCCAGGCGTGGGATAACCCTGTCCCTCGTGCCTGGGCACAGTCAGGACAGCCCCTGCCTTTGTCCCCCGATACCCACATGTGACTGGGACCCTCCTGTCCCTTGTCACCCGGTGCTCCTCTGACCCTTGTCACCTGCGACCAGGGGCAACTGTGACATCCCCCCACCCGGTTCAACCCCATCCCCTGTCACCTGAGGGGTTCCTTACCTGGGCTGTCCCTGTCACTCTGTTCCTGGGGGTCCCCCCCTCTTCTTGTCCCCCTGTGCCAGCGAGTGACCAGGGTCCCCCTTGTCCCCTTTGTGCTGCGGGGTATCTGGGGCTCTCCCTCTTGGTACCCCCATCCTGAAGGGACCAGGGACTACCAGCACCCTAAACCCCAAGGAAATCCACCCAGAAAGGTTGAGGGGGGGGGGGGCCCCCCCAAAATCCTCACCCACCCACTTCCAGGAGCTGCTCCCCCGAGGGCCTCGTGAGCACCCTCCTCCGTAAGGTGCCGCGGGTCAGCCTGGAGCGGCTGGACCTGGATCTGTCGGGGGCGGTGCAGCCCCCCGTCTTCCGCGTCTTCCCCGGCACCTCGGCCGCGGACTTCAGCCTCATCGTCATCGAACGGGGGGTGCAGCCGCGGCGCCCCGTCCCCCTCGCCATCAAGGTGGGTGCCCCCTCTGTCCGTCCCCCTGCCCTCCCCCTCTGTCCGTCTCACGCCCTCCCGCGTCCCCTCTTTGCAGGAGGAGCAGGAGGAGGCGGCCATCGGGGACGCCGAGCTGGCGGGGCTCCTTCCCGAGCACCCCGCGATGCCGAGACCCCCCGGCCCCTCGTTGGGGTTGGGGTCTGCCCCCCCGGGGGCCCCCCCCGGCGTCTCCTGTTGCCGCGTCTGCTGCCAGGCGGGTGCCGTGGTGATGTGTGACCTCTGCGAGCGCTGCTACCACCTCGACTGTCACCTCCCCGCCCTCCAGGAGGTCCCCAGGTACGCCTGGCCCCTGGGATCCGCCGGCCCACGTCACCTCCTCAGATCCTCCGACATCCCTGGGATCTACTGGTGTCTCGTCCCTGAGGATCGCTGCCCCCCCCCCCCCCCCATCCCCTTGAGGCTCCTCTGGCACTGCTTGATTCCCCCAGGATCTGCCGCTCTCCCCTGGGATCCCCCTTGCTGCAGGTTACTGCCCCTTGGCACTGTGGGCATGGGGAGGATCTCGGGGATCACCCGGAGCCACCAGCTCCTCGGGGTCTGCTGATCTCTCACAGGATCTGTGCATCTCCCATAGGACCTACTCCTTCCTTGTCCCGGGAGTGGAATTGCTCCTCTTCATTCCTTGGGAGGGATCCTCTGGTGCCACTGGATTCCTTGAGTGATCACTGATCCCTGGGATCTATCTGCCCCCCCCCCACCACCGTCCAGTTCTTCCCCAACCCAGAGGTCCTTGGCCACTGCTGGAGCTTTGGAAGCCATGTGAACCTCGCCCACGTCTCTCCCTTGGGATCTGCTGATGTGTTTTGAGATCCACTCATCCCCCCTCAGAGGGAGCTGTAGCTGTCCAGGTTTTCTGGTGCTTGGTTGCTACTGGATCCCCAGAATTTGCTGTTTGTGGATTGTTGTTTTGTTTTTTTTTTTTTTGTTTTTTTTTTTGTTTTTTTTAATTATTATTCCCTGGTATCTTCCATCCCCATGGGCCAGGCCACCTCCCACAGATCTGCACAGGGACACGCTCCCTGGAGATCTGGTTTTGATCTTTGTGGAGGTCTGGCTGTTGACCACAGAGCCCTGGGGGTCTGCTCTCTGCCATCTGTGGAGGGATCCACCTCTCAAGCCCAGATCCCCTGGGATCTCCTGGCCCTCATCTGCATTGGGATCGATCTGTTGATCCCAAATCCTGGGGGAACCTGCGGTGTCCGAGCCCTGTGGGGCTCTGCTCCTCCATTCCTGACCCTCCTGGATCCCTTGGAGATCCTCAGCCTATCTGGGGACCTACACAGCAACCCGGATCCCTTGGGAACCCACTGCCCTGATCCGTGGGGAGAGCCATGCATTGATCTCGGATCAGTCGGGACCTCTTTGCTCCCTGGGGAGCTGGTTTCCCTGCTCCACCGTGGACCCCACCCCTTGATCCTTGGCTGCCTGGCCCTGCTCCGCCTGGCAGTTCCCCAGCTGATACAAAAACCTGTGGGATCCGCTCTCCCGGGCCCCTGCGGCTGCCCATCCCCTTGATCCCAGGCACCCGGGGGTGCTCCGAGCCCCCCGTCCTGGGGGTTCTGCCCACACCACAGGGAACAGGCGGAGAGGGGCACACCAACCCGATCCCTTCGCTCGATCCCACAGCCCCGAGTGGACGTGTCTGCTGTGCCAGGACCTGCCACTGCCCAGCGAGGACCTCGCCCCCGGCTTTGAGGAGACGCCACCCCACAGACTTTGCCCCCTGGACCAGCAGGTGCGTGTGGGGGGTGGGCGGGGGGGGATCGAGTGGTGCACGAAGGGATGGAGGGATCCCTTTAAATCCCTGCAGAAATGTGAGCAAGTGCTGCTGGAGCTGCTCTGCCATGAGCCCTGCCGGCCCCTCCACCGCCTCTCCAGCTCCCCGGTGAGTCACGGGGCAGGGGATCCCAGCTGGGGGGGGGGGATCCCTCGCCCTGCTAGGATCCCCTCACCCTCCCACTGTCACCCCCCCCTGCTCCCCAGGACAGCCACGATGCCATCGACCTGACCCTCATCCGTGCCAAGCTGCAGGAGAAACTCACCCCCCATTACCGCTGCCCCGAGGAGTTCGTCCGGGACGTCTGGAGGATGATCCAGCAGTTCAACCGCCTCACCGAGGTGCAGGACCCCCCCGCCCCGGGCAGGTTTTGGGGGAACTGAGGCACGGGGGTGGTTCCTGTACGCCCCCTCACCCCTTTTTTTTCCCCCCCCTCTCCCCAGGACAAGGCTGATGTTCAGTCCATCCTGGGCTTGCAGCGGTTTTTCGAGGCCCGGCTCAGCGCAGCTTTTGGGGACCAGAAGTTCTCCTCTATCCTCCTCAAGCCCGTCCTCCCCCTGGATGAGGCCGAAGGCTCCTCGTCCCACCCGGAGCCCTGATGCCCTCCCTCACCGGGGCGGGGAGGGGCAGACAGCGGGGCTGTCCAGGGAGGGGGTAGTGCCCCTGTCCCCTCACCCCGTGCCTCCCCGCCGGGGGGCTGTCCTCATCTCTCCGAGAAATAAAGCCATCGTCTCGACCTCCTCCCTTGTCTCGCAGCTGGATCTGACCCCCTGGGACCCCCTTTTTTTTTCCCCTCCTGGTGCCCCCCCACTTCCACCTTCGCCCCTCAGCGGGGATGGAGAGGGGCTGAAGCTAAACTGGTCCTGGGCTGGTGCTGGCCACGCCGGAGCCGGGCGGCACTGAGAGGGGTGTCCCCGCTCCCGGGGTGTCCCCGCTCCCGGGGTGTCCCCGCTGAAGGTTTGGGGGGGGGGGGAAGGGGGTCCCCGTAGCGCCACACTAACGCTCCATGCGGGTGCGACGCATCCGCTAAAGATGGCGGCGCCCAGGAGAAAGATGGCGGCGCCTAGTGGAGGGAAAGCTGAGCTGGTGCTCTAAGCTCCTCCCCCTGCGCCGGATTGGTTGGTGGAAAGAGAGAGGGCTCCGGAAAGAGCCGAAGCGTTCCGGAAAGAGCCGAGGTGGGAGGCGGACGGGGTGGCGTTGTGCGGGGAGACTTCCAGGAGTAGCCGACGCTTTCCGGGGGGACACGAAGGGAGAGGGGCGGGGAACGCGCTGCCGGAAAGAGCCGAAGCTTTTCCGAAAGGAGCCGAACGCTCTCCTGTCCGAGACGTCCCTCTGCGGAAAAAGCTGAACCCGCGGTACCTCCGAAAAGAGCCGAACCCTCTCGGGGGAGAGCTCGGCGCTTTCCGGAGAAACTGAGACAGGGCGGAACGCATCGGACCCACCCTCTTTCCGGAAGATCCCGAAGCCCCTACGGAAAGAACCGAAAGCTTTTCCGGAAAGAGCCGAACCGCCGGGGGCGGTGAAGACCCCGGAACGAGTCTTTCTCCTTCCGGAAAAACCCGAAGCGGCGTTCGGCGCCCGCCCGAGCCCTCTCCGGAAAGTCCCGAAGGGCTCCGAACCCCCCTCCTCGTTCCTTTCCGGAGAGACCCGAAGCGTTTCCGGAAGTTGCCGAGCGGCGCCGGCCGTCGCCCGATCCTCCCCCCCCCTTCCCCCCCCCCCCCCCCCTTCCCCGCCGCCTCAGCCGCCGCCGCCGGTTCCCGCTCCGGTTCCCGCTGCCGCCCGCCCCCCTCCTCCCCGCCGGGGGGGGCCCCCGTCCGGCTCCCGCCGCCCCCCCGCCCCGGTTCGGCCCGGCAGGATGATCAAGCTCTTCTCGCTGAAGCAACAGAAGAAGGAGGAGGAATCGGCGGGCGGTACCAAGGGCACCAGCAAAAAGGCTTCGGCCGCTCAACTCCGCATCCAGAAAGGTGAACGGGCTCGGGGCCTGGGGGCTCCCGCTGCCCCCCCCCCGGGACCCCCCCGGGACCCCCCCGGGACCCCCCCGGACCGGGCCGGCTGTGGGGGAGGCGCCCGGCGCCGGTTCCGGGCCCGGGGGGGGCGGCTGGGCCTGGTGAGGCCCGACGGGAGGGGAGCGGGGCCTGAGCGGGGCCGCGGGCTGGGCCCAGGAAGGCCCGGTGGGGGGATCGTACCGGTCCCGGTGAGGGGCACCGGATGGTTCCAGTAAGGCCCCGGTGGGGGTGGAACGTACCGGTCCCGGTGGAGGGCCCTGGTGGGCAGGGAATGGGCTGGGCCCGGTTGGGCCCCGGTGAAGGGAGCGGAACGTACTGGTCCCAGTAAGGCCCCGGGGTGGGACACAGGGTGGTACCGGTGAGGCCCTGGTGGGGGGAGCGTACTGGTCCCGGTAGGGCCTGGGGGGGGGGCACACTGGTCCCGGTAGGGCCTGGGGGGGGGGCACACTGCTCCCGGTAGGGCCTGGGGGGGGGGCACACTGGTCCCGGTAGGGCCTGGGGGGGGGGGGGGCACACTGGTCCCGGTAGGGCCTGGGGGGGGGGCACACTGGTCCCGGTAGGGCCTGGGGGGGGGGCACACTGCTCCCGGTAGGGCCTGGGGGGGGGGCACACTGCTCCCGGTAGGGCCTGGGGGGGGGGCACACTGGTCCCGGTAGGGCCTGGGGGGGGGGGGGGCACACTGGTCCCGGTAGGGCCTGGGGGGGGGGGCACACTGGTCCCGGTAGGGCCTGGGGGGGGGGGCACACTGCTCCCGGTAGGGCCTGGGGGGGGGGCACACTGGTCCCGGTAGGGCCGGGGGGGGGGGCATACTGGTCCCGGTAGGGCCTGGGTGGGGGGGCACACTGCTCCCGGTAGGGCCTGGGTGGGGGGGGCACACTGGTCCCGGTAGGGCCTGGGGGGGGGCACACTGGTCCCGGTAGGGCCTGGGGGGGGGGCACACTGGTCCCGGTAGGGCCTGGGGGGGGGGGGGCATACTGGTCCCGGTAGGGCCCGAGTGGGGGGGCACACTGGTCCCGGTAGGGCCTGGGGGGGGGCACACTGGTCCCGGTAGGGCCCGGGGGGGGGGGCACACTGGTCCCGGTAGGGCCTGGGGGGGGGCACACTGGTCCCGGTAGGGCCCCGGGGGGGGGGCACACTGGTCCCGGTAGGGCCCGGGGGGGGGGGCATACTGGTCCCGGTAGGGCCCGGGGGGGGGGGCATACTGGTCCTGGTAGGGCCCGAGTGGGGGGGCACACTGGTCCCGGTAGGGCCTGGGGGGGGGCACACTGGTCCCGGTAGGGCCTGGGGGGGGGGGGGCATACTGGTCCCGGTAGGGCCCGAGTGGGGGGGCACACTGGTCCCGGTAGGGCCTGGGGGGGGCACACTGGTCCCGGTAGGGCCTGGGGGGGGGGGCACACTGGTCCCGGTAGGGCCTGGGGGGGGGGCACACTGGTCCCGT